CATTTACTGATCCCCATCCGTATCTGTTGCAGGACTCGAACAGTGCCGGGCAACGTCAGCAGTCGACCAGCCAGTCGAAGTCTGCTGGCAAGCAAGGCTACTCGCCCTCGTACTGGACCGGACAGAACTAGCTTCCGGAGAACACGATCTGGCGGCCCCTGCAGATCGCCCGAGCGAGCGACTTCTATAGCCTTCGCAGCAGTAGCAGCACCACCACCACAACCACCACGCCCATTCACCACATCTACAGCAAGAGCAGCGCCAGCAATCCCAGAGCGCTGCCCATCACACATGCCACCACCACGACAGTGACCACAATAGCAGCCAGCAGCGCCACAACGACCATAGATGCCACCACCACGCCATTAGCAGCAATAGTGACGACGGCATCGACGACGCAAGGTATTCCCGGGCAGTTACTGATGCTCGTCAAGGAGCAACCGCAACAGCAGCAGCAATCACAACCGCCACCACATCAACAACAACAAGCACTCGCCGACGGGGCGGGGAGCGAGAAATCCTCGCCAGCGTCGGAAGAGGATTATCTAATATACGAAGATAAGCGATCATACTTTACTTAATAAGAAACGTTTTTACTACGAACGCACTGTAAAGGCGCCGCCCAGCAGCGTCCTGACCACGCCTCCTTTCTACCCCTCAGCCACAAAACAAAACACACACCACACTCGCATAAATCCCACACAGCATGAAGGTGTTTCTCCTCCCTCACACAACAAAGAATGAAACAAATAAAACAAAAAGCATACAGCAACATCCGCATAAATATACCAAGTACCATTTTCACATTGCATACAAATAAATTTACAAAGATAAAGAGTAACAATTATTAATTATTAAAGGCGTAAAACGATTTAACAGATTTAAGAGCGTAAGAAATAAACCGAAAAGAGCAGAACAGTAAATTAAAAAATACAAGTATATATATTAAAGCAAACAAAACCACAAACATAACGTGAATGAGAAAAAACAAAACAAACAAAAATTAATTATTGTAATCGGTTTAAACTTATATGTATAATTATAACCTTAATATTTAAACTAAATACAAAAAAGAAGATACGATTAAATCCAAACAAAATGCAAAAAAAAGATAAACCTTGGCGATTTTACTTAAATTGGTATGTTTGATTTTAGGGAGCAAAATTTAAAAATCTATGGCCTTTTTTAAAAATTTAATTTTTCTTTTATAATTATATTTGCGGATCTTGATAAAATTCAGTTATTGTTCCTATGTTCTATATTAAGTATTCTTACACAATTTGAGTATTTGTGGTCCGATAGTTAGCAGAAAGTGTCTCATTCTAATCTAATGGATTTATTTATACGTGTTTCTGTGTTTTTATACCCTTGCAGAGGGTATTATAATTTTGGTCAGAAGATTGTAACGCAGTAAAGGAAACGTTTCCGACCCCATAAAGTATATATATTCTTGATCAGGATCAATAGGGGAGTCGATATAGCCATGTCCGTCTGTTTCAATACTGTTTGCGAGCTCAGTTTAAAAGCTAGCGATCTGAAACTTTCATAGTCGTCCTAAAACAAGTGTACGCAGATCAAGTTTGAAAACCGCCCCGATCGGTTGTCTATATCCCATAGCTCCCATATCGGTTATAACTTGCAAGAATGGAAGATATTTCGCGCAGTGTAAAAGCTATTGACATAAATATTTTCAAATCATATTTTTTATGCGTACCTTGATCAGGGTAAAAGCGCGTGGCGATCGGACGTCTATATCCTATAGCTCCCATAGGAACAATAGGGTGAAATCGGGTAAAATTTAATGATTTTTAGGATATTTCGCGCATTATACAAGCTATTGACATGAATCTTTCTAAATCGTATTTTTTAATGCATACCTTGATCAGGGTAACAGCCCGTGCTAATCGTACGACTATATCCTATAGCTCCCATAGGAACATTTGGGTGAAATCGGTCCAAATTTGATGTTTTTCAGAATTTTTCGTGCAGTGTATAAGCTATTGACAAACATCTTTTCAAATCGTATTTTTTTATGCATTTCTTGATCAAGGTAAAAGCGCGTGCTGATCGGACGTATATATCCTTTAGCTCCCATAGGAACAATAGGGTGAAATCAGTCCAAATTTGATGTTTTTCAGAATATTTCGCGCAGTATAAGCTATTGACATAAATTTTTCCAAGTCTTATTTATTTACGCATATCTTACTCAGGGTAAAAGCGCTTGCCGATCGGACATCTATATCTTATAGTTAATTCGGTGCAAAATCGGTCAGTTTTTAAAAATTTTTATTGGCGATACAGATAGTCTTAGCACAATTTTGGTTTTTGCATGTGATAGGGCAACATTTAAACATGTGTGAATTTTTTCATCCAAAAATATTAAAAATTGAGTGAGATACAGGCAATCTCCGTCAAATTTTTGACACCCTATAATCGAATACAATACCAGCTAACTTACTTAGGTTCAACTGCCCATAACTTCGGAAGTTTTACTCGGATCGATCTAAAATGTTCTAAGTTTTCTAAAAAAAATGAAAAAAAAATTTTAACACTATACCCTCCCTTAAAGGCGGCGAAAATATTTTTTTTTATTTTTATATGACGTTTTTGCAGTATAAGCTATGCAAATCTATGTACAGTGGATCGCAGCTTATTTCGTGCAGTTACCCAAAAAAAAGTTCAAGTCGTTATTCCTGCTAAACTAAGAAAGATAACAGAAAAATTTTAAATTTCCTTAATCATAAAAACAAAATGTGCAGGCTTTTTTCATGCCGCAGCTTATTTCGTGCAGTTCATTCCTCTTAACTTATTATTTGTAATTTAAAAGCTAATATTTTGTATGTCCTCCTTTCTGGTTCAGGACAGCTTTAAGACGATTTCCTAAGGAAGAAACTAACTTTTTAGTGGTTTCTACTGGAATTTTTGGCCATTCTTCCATAAGAACACTTTTCATGTCGTTTTTGTTCGAAATCTTCCTCTTCCTTATAGCGATATCCAAAATTTCCCATAAATTTAAATCTGGAGACTGTGCTGGCGTTATGACGACATGAGGGCAGTTCCAGACAGGTTAAACCTTCACAATTCCTGCCGAATGCTTCGGATCGTTGTCCTGGTAAAATCGAAATCGATCGCGTATGCCCAGTTTTTCAGCAGTTTGGAGCAGGTTTTCCTTTAAAATCTGTAGGTACATCTTGGCCATCCATGATAACTTAAAAAAAAACGAGGTTGCCCCGCCAGAAGCTGCCATACAAGCCCAAACCAAGAGTTTATTTTGGAGCTCTGTATTAGGTCGCCGCCAAACATATTAAACCAAAAAGGTTACATTTTGACTCGTCTGCAAATAAATTTTTCTGTTCTTTCTTAGTATAGCAGGAATAACGACCTAAACTTTTTTTAGGTAACTGCACGAAATAAGCTGCGATCCACTGTATGTATACCCTATTCTTTTCGTTACTTTTTCAATTTTAGCAATTTCGGCTTGCCGAAGTTAGCTTCCGTCCTCGTTTTTTTAATTTGATTTGCCTCTTTACTGAAATGCATGCGGTGTGCTTATATACGTATATATATAACTTTTTTAATTCGGAATAAGCTATTTAAATATAAAGATACATGTAAACAATGAGAAACAGCCTGCTACTGGCTGTGCAGCAGCTTGTTGAAGTCGGCGTAGGCCGACTCCAGATCGAAGAGGAACTGACGCACCTGACCCTCGCTCAGCTCGTCGGAGGCCTGCATCTCGTTTAGGCTACCCAACCACTTCTCCACCTTTAGCTTGGCATCGAAGTCCTCCGGGATGAGGGACAGGCGGTTCATGTTGTCGGCCAGATCCTTAACGTCCGGCTGCAGGGCGTCCATGGTGTTGATCTGCAGACGCAACTTGTCCATAATGGTAATAAACAGTGACACTATTTCGGCGATGCACTTAGAGGTATTGCCCTTGTCGTCGCGTATGGTGATGGGTCGGTCCTCGCGAATCCTCTCCAGCGCCGCCGGGCAGTCCAGCCGGAACTTCTTGACGAATGACTCCACCGTGGGAAACTCGTCACCCTGCACCTGCTTGAAGGCAACCTTATACTGGACCAGGTATTTGGAGCAGGCGGCCGTATATTCCTGCGGCGTAATGCAGTCCCGAATGTAGGCCTTTTCCAATTGCTGGATGGTGTTGGTAATTGCGTATAGATCGGCCATGTTGTCGTACCTCTCGCGCTCGCGGGCGTTGCGGAAGAGCTTTACCTCCTCGTACAGCTCGGGACTCTGATCCTGCATCCTGGGTTTGGCTCAAAAACGATCTGGTTTTAAAGAAAAAAACAATGATTCACAAAACAGATTTTGTCAGGCAGTGTGACCGTACCGCAGTGCACTTAAAATACAGCATTGAAGAGTTGTTGAGCCCTTGAACAAGTGTTGGAAAACACAGAATCACTAACAGTCATTCAGTTCAAACTTAAATTTGATTAGTGAAATATTTATGATCTTGCTTAATCATTTCCGCCCCCCCAAAAACACCACCTTATCGATGCTGGTCGTTTTCCGCTTGCCGAATATAGATTAACGCTTTATCTGTTCGCATGTTTACTGGTTAATTCCATGCATGCCGATAGGAACTATCATTGAATTAAGACAAGGTGTTTTCATTGATTGAATCTCCCCTTGCGCCCACAAACATTTTCATTAAATCAGAGGTCCAAAACAGCCAGTACGGTCGCTTAATTTACCTGTTTATGGCTCTCAATATCAGCATATCAGCTTATCGATACCATTGACCGCAGCCCAGCAAAGTGCACTGGGTTCACTTATTAGTATTTCCACAGTCGCCAACCCGCTCGCAATCTGTTCAGACCTGGTATAATTGAATCTCCGTCTTTTTGTTAATCTGCGTTCAGATCAAATTAACAAGTGTTTCAGTTGTTTAATAGCTTTAAGGTGTTTTGTTTTGTCACGGATACAGATTACAGAGGACACATTCAAATGGGCGCTAACGAACAGCAAGACAATGTAAGTAAAGTAGCCGTGATTTTGAGGCAAATCTTCGGGGTTTAATAAATATTTTAAAATAAATATAGGCTTACTATTACGTATGTCTATAGTTAATAAGCTTGGCGTCTAAGCAAACAGCATGTTTGACCATAAAGTTATACTAAAATATAAATCCTGTATGCGACACGCTCGGATGCCAAAGCGTAATGCGTGGCTGTGACCAATCAGTTCTCTAATACGGCACTGCCTGTTCGACCAGCTTGTAGCCATGGCCGGAGTAACTTCGCGGCGGGTACAGGACAAACAGACCCAACTGCAGCAGCGACAGTATGCAGCCCAGAAAGTTGGGTATCTGAAAAGGAAAGCAAACAATTGCCACCGTCAGTGATTTGATGTCTGGCCAGTCGTGGGAACAGGGTCACCTGGATGAATGAGTCCGATATCAGTATGCCGTAGATTAGCCACTGCAGGCTGACCAAAAAAGACGTGGCTATCAGCGGCAGGGGCAGGCTCTCCGAGTTCTTCGCCCGTATCACATGCAGCAAACTAGCCAGCGGGGCGGCGAAAAAACACACGGTCACGATGCAGCACACGATTCCTGAAAATATACATATTTGAGAACTAAGCACACCTGACTAAATAGTTGCACGAAAAGTGTTCTTACCCGTGACGTGTATCATTTGATCGCGCTGGTCTTCCAGCCGATTGGTAAAGAGAATGACCACCACCAGTACGGTCAGAACGAATCCGAATTGCTTGACGCAGGCACGTTTGTTGACGGTGAACACATAGTAAATCAGCGTGTAGACTAGAAAAAGCGTCGATCCGATGATGTTGACCAGCACAATGCTCTGTTCGTTGGTTAAGACTCCGTAGCGCAACCAAAAGCTGCACCTGTACAAATAAAATTCAATTCATTTGAGTGTGTTATACGTCAAAAAACATGGGTAAATTGCCAACCAAGCAATGCTGTTAATTTTTGTTTTATTTAGATGTACCACAAGTAGTGGAATATACAAATAAACTATGCAGTTAATTCAGTTATTTCTGTCAACATTATTCCGGCTATTTAAAATATTTTAGGAACATTTATAACATTTTTAATATTTAAAAGATTTAAGCCAATTCCAATGAGATATTTATTTGATCTTTATGGAAGCCAAATCGGAAAGGTTAGATCCAATCATTACTTTTTTGTAAAGTTGGAAATACATGTTCGAAGAAGGATTTTAAATTTGAAACCAACAATTAACTTTGCTACATTAAAACAGCTTACTCAAAGGTGAGCGAAAAAGTTGTAGTAGTAGCCTAATATTTTGATAAAGAAATCTTTTCCAACCCCAGATAAAGTCTTAAGTTCGGCAGTTCTTCTTTTAAGAGAAGACCAAGCCAAAACAATTTAAGAACCAACAAAATCTTCTCGGCAACCGCGACCAACTCGATTTTATCTCGGTAGTGCCAACGTCGGCAGTTTCTACTCACGATAAGAAGCCGCATATGAAGGGAACTCCGGAAGAGTCACCCGTGCTTTTTTTCTGTATGTACTTTCGGCATATCATGCTGCAAGTAAAGCGAACAATTGAATTTTGGATAGGTCCATTTCAATGTGTTTTGGAGATTGGTACTTACGCGCCGGAAAGGAACTGGAAGACGGTGCTGATCACCGCCGTCGTGGACAGCAGGGAGTCGTAAGCCACCGCCGACATAGCGCTCGATCTTCTTAGTAACTTATGCTAAACTTAAACGCTGCCAGACGCTACGCTTCCAAATACAACGTCAACAAAAAATTGAACAGCTGTTGAGGACTTAAGGATGGTACTTCTGACTAGCGATGAGTCCGTGCCAAATTTTCCAACACAGCTCGAACACATAACTTAATTTAAAACGGCAGTGGTTTTTTATACTTCATATATAAATAATATAATTAAAACAATTTTTGAATTACCATATTGAAAAGTCACTAAAAAATAGTTTGCCTATTGGATGTGTTTAAATATTACAATTTAAAAAGTTTAATTGCAATGAGCTTGAACAAATTTTTAGGTTTCGGGTCACGGCAAATTGCACAACACCCACAAGTTACCAACACTGGCAGGCGCGCGCATTTTTAAAGGAAACTCGTATGAGCAGTGCTGCCAGATTTTTAGAGGGAAGAAGTTTAACTGGAATACAATTTGTGTAAATAGTTAAAAATTAAATAATTATTAAGTAGGAATAACATATTTATTTTGGCTACTTGATTACTTAGTACTTATTGTATTTCCCGCCCCCGAAAGCTTATTTCAGCTAAAACTCTGGCAACAATTTGCGAAAAAGAGCTTTTATACCCTAGCAATATATTTTATATTTTTTTCTGCTGTCAGGTTCGCAGTAATAGAGAGGTTCTTGTCGTAGAATGTATTATTCTTTATATTTATTGGCTTATTTTAACAGCAGTGCATACTAATTGATTAATATAAAAGCTATTTGGCCACCAAAATTAATTTTTTTAATATAAGGATCGGGTTTACCAATCAACAAGTTGAACTGATAGTTGAATATATCTAAATAAGACTTGTACCACCGCGCCGAGATCTCATAAAAAAGTATTATTATATTAAAATTAATTTTTTAAGGGTATAAAAACGTTGGGTAGTCTTTATTGTTTTGGTTTTATCTCATGCCGGCTACCAAAATTTGGTTGTTGTTGTTTGGGTTCTAAGCGGAAGCTTTTTCGCCACCAACCACGACGCTCAGCTGACATTTTTAGTCGCGCTCCGAGTCCAGAGCTGCCATAACGTAACGCTTCGATCCGATTCCGAGTGCACCGCTGGCGGTGCGCCGTTTAGAAACAATTGTGACTGTTGCTCCGAGTTGGGAATCGGGAAATGTTAGAATTTACACACACTGCCCGTAACACAACACTGATTCGAAAAACCCTGTTGCCTTACCGCCAACTGTTAACGATTGTTACAACTGTGTTAGCACGCACACACCACACGCGTGTGTTTACGAGTGCCTTAAAAAGTGTTCCCCAAAATAAGTGGTAGTACGAAGCAAAGTCCATAATTATGGCCAGCAAAGGTCAGCAGGCGGAGGCCCAGCAATTGTATCCGCAGCCCACAAGAGTGGAACTGCTCACAGCCCAGACGGAAACCAACCAGGTGAGATTCTGATTCCGATTCCAGATGCCATCTACCTCAGGTGAGAGAGCGGGCAGATCGGCAGACTACCTACCACTGAGGTACCCGATGTTGTTGTTCTTTTGACTCTATCTGCACATGCACCTTTTCTTTGTTTTCTTTCGATGACGTTGTTCTTCTCTCTCTTTTCTCGGATGCTGTTTTCATTTATTTTATCTCACGCATTTCATTTTTAATATTATTATACACTTTGTGCTTTTCTGTGTATATTTACTTGCCAAAGGCGTTCGGACCTATATATTTTATTTTTTTGCATATTTGTTTTCAAAGTCGAATACAATTTTATATACACGCACATATACATATATACAAACGACGCATTTAGCATATGGTTGATTCATATACAGTGGAACCTATGTCGACCATGAGTAATTTATGTAAATACAGTGTGGTATAAATTGGTAGCACTAAAATATTTTTGTTGATGTTTAGTTTAATTGTTAAGAGCTTAACTATAATCATTAACCAAAGGTTTGAATACCTGTTTTAATTTAAATATCAAATAAATTGATCATTTTGGGCTTAAAAATTGACTAAAAAAAATTTAAAATCGAAGATTTTAGAACTACATAGGTGCTTGTAAATGATGCAAATAAATTTTGTTGATGGGATAAAGCCAAATTTACCTAAAGCTAAAACATAGCTTGAGTGAAACTTGTGTCAATGGAAAAATAAATTTAAATAAATAATTGCAGTTCAGCCAAAACAAGTTGCATTTTTGAAAGAATCAGAGAGCAAGGGAAAAGTAGTCCAAATAAATGTTTCTGAGCTTTTAAATATTTTTAGCTTTTACCTACCGGTGCAAAGTGCTGTCTGTTTGACCTCTGTTGTTTTCGAGTACTTTAGTTTTTTTGGCAAACAAACCGATCTCCTAGTGTGTATAATCAGCTGAATTTTCAGTCATCGCTTATCAGTTATAAAGAGACACCGCTCGCAAACGTTCATTCAATTAGAGCATTCTGCTTATAAATAGTATTCCGTTAATCGCAAATGATCCCAAATGCTCCTGCTGAGAAATGGAAAGTTTTGCCCTTCGGTCAAGATTAGCAGTAATTAGCGACAATTACAGATTATAACAAAGCGGGAATTAATCAGAAAGTTCTGATAACGCAACCCCCATTGGAATTTTGAAATGACCCCACACAATGACGCACTGAATCGCTATCAGAGACTGAATTGTATGCTTAAGGGAAGTGTGTTTTTTTGCTGAGTATCTAATTGTGCTTGGAACACTTGCAGAAACCACGATGGGGCAATCTCCTGCTGCTGGTGGCCCTGGCAACCACATTTGGAGGTGCTGTGCCCACCGGCTATTGCATAGGCGTTATCAACGCCCCCTCCAAGGTGAGATATACATATGACGATTTAGTCGTCGAAGGGAAACATTTAAAGGCCTATCTTTACAGCTCATGAAAGTTTGGTGCAATCAGACAGTGCACGAGACCTACGGCAGTAACCTCAGTTCCGGCGGTCTGGAACTATTGTGGTCGTGCATCGTTTCTGTGTTCCTGGTCGGCGGCGCCATCGGTTCGCTGGGCGGGGCTGGAGCGGCCAATAAATTCGGCAGGTAGCTATTAATCAACTAGATAAGCCCCTTGGATTTTCTCGAGTGTTTTGGATCCGGCAACTAATTCGAATATCAATAAAAGCCATTCAGAAGTGGCGGGTATTATATGTCGTAACAATCGTTTTCAGTAACAGTTCGAAAGGGTGAACACTCTATTAAGATGGATTAGTATTATGAAGCTTATGAAAATAGGGTATTGAAGAATAATTAATCCAGTTTTTTTCCATCTTTTTATCTTTGTTAATAAACTAGGTAAATTATCTTGGAAACTTTGAATTTAAGATAACACTTGAATTTAATTGTTTTATTTCAACTTTTATTTTAATTGTTCAAAGCAATTAATTACCAATGCTTGCAATACTTTACTAAACAATCTTAGTTTTATGAAAAGTTTGTTTTAGTATTTTATAATTTCTTTAATATAGGCACATCCGTTGATAAAAAATAAAATAATAAAAATAAAAAAACAAGAAAGAAAAGCTAGGAGCCGAAGTTGATTTACCCTTGCAGAATATTCGTAAATTAATTCTCCAAAACTATTCATATGATGCATTCTTAATACCAACTTCCTAACTTTAAAACAAGAGAGAACGCTATAGTCGAGTGCCTCGACTATTAGATACCCGTTACTCAACTAAACAACTTAATATAAATATGCCTTCTAGTATGTTTTTCGCCGCTCGAATTAGCACCTTGGCCAGTTGTTCCAAAGTCATCCGTTAGATGGCGCTATTGTATTGCGCCATCTACCCCAAGACATTGGTACCACGGGCCATGAATGGCGGAAATGTAGGCGCTAGCCAGGCTTAAGCGTTTAATGAGTTTTTGGGCGTTAGAGTGGGCGTGGCAATCTTTTATTAGGCCAATCGATAGGTATTGACGAAACAAATACATATCAATTACAATTTTCATAATAGCATCAAAACTGTGGCCACAGCTTGTGGCTTGTGGGCGTCAGAGGGGGCGTGGCACCATTTTGAAATGCCAATCTTCTAGCTTTTATAGTTTCCGAGATCTCAGCGTTTATACGGACAGACGGACATGGCTAGATCGACTCGGCTAGTGATCCTGAACAAGAATATATATACTTTATAGGGTCGGAATCGCTTCCTTCTACCTGTTACATACTTTTGCACGAATTTTACTCTCTTTTTACTCTACGAGTAACGGGTATAAACACCAAAGTTATGGCATTTCCGATCAATCAGTTATATGGCAGCTATAGGATGTAGTCGGCCGATCCCGGCCGTTCCGACTTATATACTGCGTGCAAAGGAAGGAAAGTTGTGTGCAAAGTTTCAATTCGATATCTTAAAAACTGAGGGACTAGTTTGCGTAGAAACGGACGGACGGACGGACAGACGGACAGACGGACATGGCTAGATCGACTCTCTTGGTGATTGATCAAGAATATATAACTTCATAGGGTCGGAGATGTCTCCTTCACTGCGTTGCACACTTTTGACCAAAATTATAATACTCTCTGCAAGGGTATAATAAAAATAAATCCTTAAGAATCTTTAGTACATCCGTTGAAATGAGTCTTTTGTAAAAAAATATCACCTTCTCTTCCAGAAAAGCATGCTTCCTCATCTGCGGAGGCATGTTCACCGTAGGAGCGGTGCTGTTCTTCTTCTGTCGTGCCGCTGGTTCCGTGGAGATGCTGATAATCGGAAGGTTTATTGTGGGCCTGGCCTCTGGCCTTGTGACCGCCACCCTGCCGATGTACCTTTCCGAGGTGGCTCCTCTGGCGCTGCGCGGCACACTGGGCGTTTTCTGCGCCGTAGGAGTAACGGGCGGCGTGGTCGTCGGCCAAGTCTTCAGTTTGGCCGATATCTTTGGCACCGAGGATCTTTGGCACTATGCGCTGACAGCCTACATGATTCTGATCCTGGTGTGCTACCTGCCTTCTTACCTATTGCCCGAGAGCCCCAAGTTCCTGTATATCGTCAAGGGAAATCGTGCGGCAGCCAAACGGGAGCTTCAACGTCTGCGTGGCAAGGATGCCGATGAGCTCATCGCTCAAGAGATTGCCGAGATGGAAGGGGAGAGCAATGCCAAGGTTCAAAGCAGCAGCTTCTGCGATGTACTGCGCGATCCTCGTCTAACGTTGCCCCTGATCATTGTCTGTTGCTTCCATGGTGGCCAGCAATTGTCGGGCATAAATGCGGTGAGTAGAATAACCCCTATTTCTAAAGTCTGGCTTATAAGATTTTGTGTTTTTCCAGATATTCTACTACTCGGTGAGCATCTTTGAGAAGGCCGGACTTTCCACCGTGAATGCCCAGTGGGCCAATTTAGGCGCTGGCTGCCTGAATCTGTGCGTATCCCTTTTGGGTCCTTGGCTAATGGCTTACTGCAATAGGCGAACCCTCATGATGTTCTCCTGCGCCCTGTGCTCCGTCTTCTTGTTCACCATCGCCTTCGTTTTGTTCTATATTGTGAGTTAATTTTGGTTGGTCTAGCAACTCGTGTTTTTCTTTAAATATTAATAAGTTCAACAAGGGAGATACCCTCGTTGCAAGAAAATCCGAACGATTTTGTCTTGGATTACCGACTTGATTTTAATTTTATATTATTTTTCAGGACCAAGTCAGCTGGTTTGCCATTGCCTGTATCGTCTGCATCATGGGCTACATCTTCTTTTATCAATTTGGACTGGGTCCCATTCCCTACTTCATCGGCTCAGGTAATTTGTCGCGTGACTTTATTGTTTGTCTAAATTCCCATAGCTCCATTATTTGCGACTGAGACAGCTGCGCGTGATTCCGAGAAATTGGTTTGCAATTGAGCCGGAATTGGGATCGAATGGGGTTCATTGGCTTACCATACAATTGTTTACGGCTTTTAAAGGCGTTCATCAGACAAACCGTCTGTATAATTGGATGACTGGTTTATTTTTAGACCCATTACTAATTCGAATTGTGCTCTCCAATTTGCAGAATTATTTGAGGTGGCTCCGCGCTCAGTGGCCATGTCGATGGGCAGTCTTTCCTCGTGGACTTGCAATTTCATAATTGGCATCTCGTTCCCGCTCCTGCAGAACGCGTGGGACGCTTTCGTGTTCCTGCCCTTCTCCATTACCTGTGTACTGCTCTTCCTGCTGACGAAATTCTATCTGCCTGAAACGCGGGGACGCGATCCGTCCGAGGTGGCGCCACTCGTATCGAAGGGCTTCCGCTCCAAGGTCAAATGAGACCTCTCCCTGTGGACTCATCTTACAATTAGCCTTAAGTAGCCGGTGTTATGTGGTGATACGTTTTAACTCCGATGGCAGAGTGGGCCACTCATTGACTCGTCCTTTTCATGTGCCTTTTGTAAAAGCCGACAATAAACCGGAATCCACATTGTTCAGGGTCGAATTGCTACAATTAATTGCAATTGCCCGTTTAGTCTGTAAGCTCTTTTGTACAAACCAATAAATGCGTAAACGGATCTAACTTTGAAAGTCACCCTGTAAGAAAGCTTTGAGCGCTCCGTTCCCTTATCACTACTGCACAAGTTCAATAAATAAGCCTTGGGACGGAGCGTCAAGTAATATTCTGTTAATTAGATTTATTGTAGAGCAAAAGACGCCGTATAATCATTATTGGATGCCCTATCACACTTGGGTTAGGTGATTAAATGCCAGAATTTTGGCATAAATGATAACTGCTTAAAAAAATTATTTAAAATCTTCCCTGATCTGGCTGTTGTTTATGTATAGTAATAAAACCTGTTTCTTAAGACCAAAGCTTACCGATGAAATGTGAAAGAGTATAAAACTATAGACTTATTTTCCCGGCTAGTTGTTGTTAGAACAAACAAACGCTCCCGTGTCAATGATAAGAAAACAAGCACTTGTAAGACAAAAACGCTGAATTTATCTACGCTTAGTTATGTGCTGCAACCGTATTCCGGATGACTCAGAAAGGTGTCGAATAGACTGAGTGAGCAGCCGGATGCGAATCACTTTCGGTGTAGCTTTCGGCGTTCCAGCATCGATCTATCGCTATGGTTGTTGTAATGGTATTTACCTCTGACCACTTTTTACCGCTTTCTCTCTTCTCGGGACGAGTTTGTTGCTTAAGTCTTTCGATTGCGCCATGTGCGAAGTGCTAATCGTGTGAATCTTGCTCTCCTTGCAGCATGTGACCCCGCCCAGGGTGAACGGCTGGACCCCGCTCCTGCTGCTCATCTGCCTGACAGTAACGCTGGGCACTACGGTTCCAGTGGGCTACTTCTTCGGAGTCCTCAATGCCCCGGCAGAGATTATCAAGAAGTGGTGCCAGGATATCCTGGCGACCGAATACGACACCATCGTCACTGCTGGGCAACTGGACATCCTTTGGACGAGCATTGTGTCCATCTACCTGATTGGCGGCATCTGCGGTTCCTGCTTCAGTGCTCTGCTTAGCGATAAATATGGCCGGTGAGATGTGCTTTAATGAAACACATTAGTATACAAAAAAAACTGTTTTTCTTGAAATAGAAAACAAATTTAAACACAGTGAAGGGCATTTCAGACCCTATAAAGGGTGATTCCGTCCGTCCGTCTCTTTCTACGCAAGCTAGTCCCTCAGCTTTAAAGCTATTTACTCGAAGAAGGTTAATACAAATTTGACGACAGTAGTATATAGCTGTTATAGGAACAAAACTTTCTTCCAGGAAGGGTTGCCTGCTGATCAGCGGCGTGCTGCTCGTGATTTCTGGTATCCTCTTCAACTGGTGCCGTGCAGCCAAATCCCTGGAGATGCTGATGACCGGTCGCTTCCTGGGCGGGATTGCCTCTGCACTGATCTTCACCGCCCAACCCATGTACCTGCTGGAGTTGGCTCCCTCGGAGCTCAGTGGCAGCGTGGGAGTGTTCACCTGCATCGGCGTGACCGGTGGGATCCTGCTCGCTCAGGTGTTCACTCTGTCCCACTTTCTGGGTAGCGAGCGACTGTGGCCCTATGCCCTCAGTTTCTACAGCCTGTTGGTGGTGGCTTCGCTGCTGCTCCTTTGGTGGTTTCCAGAGAGTCCTCGATGGCTTTACCTGCACAAGCGGGACTACGCCGCTAGTGAACGGGCTTTACTTCGGTTGCGTGGAAAAAACGCTGAGGAAGAAGTGCAGCAGGAACTGCTCGAAATGAAGGCCGCTCTGGAGACGAAGGCCAGCTCCGAAGCCAGCTCTCTGTGCTCGGTGCTGGGAGACAGGGAACTGCGGCTGCCACTCCTTCTGGTTTGCTCCTTTCAGGCCACCCAGCAGCTCAGTGGCATAAATGCTGTGAGTCAGCGATTGAGGTTCCTCAGTACATTTTGTAATCGTTTCCGATTTATCTTACAGATATTCTTCTACTCGCTGTCCATTCTGACAAATGCGGGGTTTTCGGCAGGAGCAGCCACTTGGCTGAACCTGGGAATTGGAGGCTTTAATCTGTGCACCTCGCTGCTGGGGCCGCTACTGATACGCAGGTTTCCACGTCGCCCACTGATGATGATCTCCTGCTCCATATGTGCTCTAGCCCTGCTGGCCATGTCTTTGGGACTCTTTTTTCTGGAGAGATCGGAGAGCACGGTCCTTACTTATTTCTGCGCCACCTTTATCCTTACATTTATTCTGGGATTTCAGCTGGGACTGGGTCCCATTGCCTACTTTATTGGCTCAGGTTTGTATTTAAATATCAAAATAAAGAATATGGGTTTTATTGACACATATATTTTTGTATCCTAGAGCTTCTGGAGGATTCACCTCGCCCCGTGGCCATGTCGATGGGCAGTCTCTTCTCGTGGATCGGCAACTTTCTCGTGGGCATGTGCTTCCCCCTGCTCCAAAGTGTCTGGAGCTCCTTCGCCTTCATCCCGTGTATGTGCGTGTGCCTCTACTGCCTGTTTCTGACCTGGCGCTTCCTGCCGGAGACACGCGGTCGAGAGCCCAAGGATGTCAAGCCCCTGATGAGCCAAGGCCTCGCCTCCAAACGGAATTAAAACAACGCCTTTTCGTAGAGCACACAACTAGCTGGTCTGTCTTGAACATTAATAAGGCTAATAACCTACTTTTAGAGTCTTTATTAATAACCAAAATGGGTAGATTTCGAACTGTTCCTTGTTCGTTGGAGTTAATTATATAGAACATTTTTATATTCCAATAAGGAAAACGTTATTGGGCTTGATTGAATTGGGATTGATTGATTACTTAGTATCTTAGAATATATGTTAAAGCATTATTTAAATTCATTGCTTTATAAACTTTAAATATTTTCTTCTAATTGATTTTTGATTGCAGTATAAAAAACTCTATGGGATACGATGGCTTAGTTACATTTGTCAAATCATGTAATGAACTTCTGGGACATTATTTTTGATCTACTGAGTGGTATTAATTTACTTCGGCGAACGGTAGTTAAAGCGATCCCCTACCAGGGAAGAAATCCTCACATCTTATAAAATGAACAGCCTTAAAGTATACTTTATAAATTGTACAATTGTCTGGTTGAAACTGTCAAAATTTAAACTCAATACAAAGTATTAAAAAGTGAAAATAGCTTAAGATAAAATTGCACTACGGTAAGTATGGCCGAGGGGCAGCAGGGATGGACAGCCTTCCTGTTGTTCATCTGTGTGTCCATCACCGTGGGCTCCGTTGTCCCCATCGGCTATGCGTTTGGCGTGGTAAATGCTCCGTCAGCGGTGCGTCATCCAAAGGTTAGCTAATGTATTCCAACTCAAGAGCACCCTCAGTTCATCAGATCGTGGATAATGGAATCGGCGTTAGCCCGGTACTCATCACGTCTGGGCGATTCCCAGATGACTGTAATGATGTCGGCCGTGGTCTCCATATTCCTCATCGGTGGGATGTTGGGCGCTTCCTTCGCTCCGATATTTAGTGACCGACTAGGTCGACGAGGAATTCTGACGCTCAGCGGATTGCTAACGCTGGTGTCCTGCATCTGCCAGCTGTTCTGCCGGATGGCCAACTCCATCGAGATGCTGCTGCTGGGACGGCTAATCGGAGGACTGGCAGCCGCTCTGATCTATGCCACGCAGCCCATGTACCTGGTGGAGTTGGCTCCGGCAGAGCTGAGTGGCAGCGTGGGTGTCTTCACTAGCATTGGGATCACCGGGGGCATTGTGTTGGGTCAGGTCTTCAGCTTTGACTTCGTCCTGGGGACGGACAAGCTGTGGACCTACGCCCTGGCTGGCTCAGGGATATTCGTGGTGGTCGGACTGGCGCCCATCTTCTGGTTCCCCGAGAGTCCGCGCTTCCTGATGTCCCAGGGCAAGAAGGAGAAGGCCAGGGTGGCTCTCATGCGACTGCGAAGGGATGAGGGACGTGTGACCGCTGAAATGGCGGAGTACGAGGCCACGTCTGGGGTGGTTGATCAGAAGGTCACCACGAAGGAAGTGCTGTGCAATAAGAAGCTCAAGATGCCCTTGATCATCGTGAGCTCCTTCCACTTCGTGCAGCAGATGAGCGGCATCAACGCGGTAGTTGAAATTACCCAGCATAGATAGTGAAAATGCTACTTTATTGACCACTAACTACAGATCTGGTTCTACTCGGTTAATATTTTCACCCAATCTGGATTCACTCTAACTGTGGCTCTGTGGCTCAACTTTGCCTTGGGGCTCGAGAACTTTCTGTTCGCCCTCTTGGGACCCGTGCTGATGAGGAGGTTCAACAGACGCCCCATGATGATCCTCTCCTGCTTTTTTTGTGCCATCTTCTTGACCCTCCTCGTCGTTGGTCTAGAACTTATGGTAAGATCACATATAATATATGTTCTACTTGGTTCGGATTTGATGAAAATTAAATACTTTCCACCCACAGTTATCCATCCATGAGTTCTCATACGCCTGCATTGCTTTCCTGTCGCTGTACATATTAGCTTTTAACGTGGGTCTGGCGTCTATTCCCTTTTTCATTGGTTCAGGTTGATATCCACCATGGTAACCGGCTTACACCTTATCCCTTATTCCGACCCCACAGAGATTTTTAAGCCAGCGCCGCGTCCTTCTGCGATGGCATTTGGAAGTTTTTTCAACTGGCTTTCCAACTTCCTTCTCGGCATGATCTTTCCTGTACTAAATTCGGCGATTGGACCATTCGTTTTCCTCTTGTGCGCCGGGTTCTGCGTCTACGGATTGCTGCTCACCTATCGTTATTTACCGGAGACAAGAAACCGCGATCCAAAGGAAGTGGCGCCGCTGATGGAGAACGGCTTTAAGTCCAAGATAAAGTAGAAAATTCTGAAAATATTTTAATCAAATTTTCATAAATATGAATTGATGTCAACAGAATTCGTCTAGAATAAAGGAATCATTTCCTTTAGTATTGAATGTTTTAAAATTTTAAAACCACACAGTTCCAATTTGGTTGGAGAAGATTTTTGAAGCACATTAGAATAATTTTGTTGTGTTTATTTGTAACGGAGTGAAGGGGACTTTTCGGACATTATAAAGTATACATATTCTTGATCAGCATTACTAGGCGAGTTAGTATAGCAATGTGTGTTGTTCGTCTGACCGTCTATCCCTTTGTAAAATGTTTTATCTCGTTGGGTTTTATAGAAATCGGATGACTATATCCTATAGCTTTCGTATATCTCACATGCTGGTCATATGACAGAACCATAGTTTATCGCTCTGATGAATTATGCGTTTGTTCCTTAAAATGATCGTTTTATGTCATTTCGGTTTCACCCTTTTAGTTGAGTTAAGCTTCGATCAATTTTTGGTAAGTGCCGGTAAGAATACTTCGGCTTGCCAAAATTTGTTTCAGCTCTCGAATTTTAATGAACTTATATCCGTAGTTAATTAACAATTGTTGATGAATTTTAATTCTTGTACTTTTTGCAAATTATAAGTTTATTTTGCTATGTAAAACGTTTGATAATGGTTAATTGGTTTGTTATTAAATATTTTTGATATATTTATGATATTAGGACGCACTTTCTTAAGTTTTCGAAAAGGTCAGAGGTATGTCATGATTTATATCAGTACAGGGGATGCGTAGATCGGTCCGATCAGCTCCAATTGAGAGTGGAATTCCTCTCTCTCTCTCTCATTAAGTGGCGAAAGATCGCCGATTCCCATTCCGAACCCAACAATGGAGGAGCAGCGACGTCACAGGTAGCGCGTCAACATCGCATCTATAAATACGGGCGCGAGTACGGATTTTAGTGGGCAGCGGAACGTCGAACAGCGCGCACGGCCGGCAAATGAGGCACTTGCTCCGGAATCGCATTCGGTGTCGGGAAACGGCCGGAGATGGCCAAATGAAGTGAAGTGTGGTGCGCTTAAAAATAAACAGGCACGCGAAACAAGTCGAGAAGTGGTTCTGTGAAGATCAGCCGTAGCGGGTTGGAAAAAATCTCGCGGAAAATCTGTAAAATAGCTTGAGGAAGGAATTTCGTTGCGTGCGTTGAATAACACTGATAAAACAATATACAGAGCGCTCAAACATAAATAATATTCCACATGCATAGTTCGGAAATACATCAGCTGCTAAAATAAACGGATCGACCGAAACACCAACAAAAGCCAGCCGATTCGCCGATCGTTCCGTGCCCGCTCATGACGTCACGGGTGAGCATCTGGCAAGAAGCATCACCAACTGCAGCGCAACGAACGGACATAATAAACAAGTTTGTAATCCCTAAAAAATTACCACCAAACGCATTTTACTTCTCCCCTTAAAATTACCACCAAACGCATTTTACTTCTCACAATCGGCCGTTTGGAAATATTTAAATATCAACAAAAAACAAGGACGGAAGCTAACTTCGGCTAGCCGAAGTTTTAATACCCTCGCAGACTTTGCCGAAATTGCTAAAATTGAAAAAGTAGCGAAAGGAATAAGATATACATAAATAAACTAGATTTGCATAATTTCATGTCAATTGCTTTTATACTGCAAATATGTCATATACAAATACAAAAAATGGGATATTTTCGCATCCTTTAAAAATTTTTCCTACGGAAGCTATAAGATATAGACGTCCGATCGGCAAGCGCTTTTACCCTGATCAAGATATGCGTAAATAAATAAGACTTGGAAAAATTTATGTCAATAGCTTACACGCTGCGCGAAATATTCTGAAAATGATCAAATTTGGACTGATTTCACCCTATTGTTCCTATGGGAGCTCAAGAATATAGACGTCCGATCAGCACGCACTTTTACTCTGATCAAGGTATGCATAAAAAATACGATTTGGAAAGATTCATGTCAGTAGCTTATATACTGCACGAAGTATCCTACAAATCATTAAATGTTAACCGATTTCACCCTATTGTTCCTATGGGAGCTATAGGATATAGAAGTCCGATCGTCACGCACTTTTACCCTGATCAAGGTATGCATAAAAAATACGATTTGGAAAGATTCATATCAATAGCTTATATACTGCGCGAAATATCCTAAAAATCATTAAATTTTAAACGATTTCACCCTATTATTCCTATGGGAGCTATAGGATATAGACGTCCGATCGGCACGCGCTTTTACACTGATTAAATTGCATGGGAGCTATAGGATATAGACATCCGATCAGGGTGGTTTTCAAACTTAATCTGCGTACACATGTTTTAGGACGACTGTGAAAGTTTCAGATCGCTAGCTTTTAAACTGAGCTCGCAAACAGTATTGAAACAGACGGACATGGCTATATCGACTCCCCTATTGATCCTGATGAAGAATATATATACTTTATTGGGTCGGAAACGTCTCCTTCACTGCGTTACAAACTTCTGACCAAAATTATAACACCCTCTGCAAGGGTATAAAAAACTAATATAATTTATAAAAATATTTTTATCTCAAACAAAATTACAAAAACAAAAAACTTTATTTAAGCTTTTCTTTAACAAGAAGATAATTTTTAGCCAAAAATGTAAAAAAAAAAACGTTTTAAAACAAGAAAGGAAGCTCGTTCCGACTTCTATACTACCTGCCATAGAAAGACAAATTTTGAAACGGACAGATGGACATGGCTAGATCGACTCTTCTGGTGATGAAGAATATATATACTTTATATAATCGGAAATGTCTCCTTCACTGTGTTGCAAACTTTTGACTTAAATTATAATATCCTCTGCAAGGGTATAAAAACATATAGAATAAATTGTAAAACACATGTCATTCATGTCTTTAATTAAGATGAAATATATTTGTATATTATAGTATTCAAACTATTACAAGTTAATAAACGTATTAACTAATAAAATATTTTTTATTTAAATAATTAAAATATAATTACGGAAATGTTCTTGAAATTAAAAACATTTTCAAGTATTTCGCATGCGTCTAACATATTTTTGGCATACACCTCCAAAATAAAAAAATGTTTTACATTCTATATGCACTGAGGGGAGTACTGTGAAATTATTTTTACTTCAAGTTATATCTAAAAAATTTTTAAAAAAAAAAATTAAAAATAAAATAAAAAAACCAAAAAACCCTGCTCGTTCCGACTTACATATATACCACCTACAATAGAAAGAAGTCTCTTGAGAAAGTTTCATCCAGATAGCTTTTAAACTGGGAGACAAGTCTGCATAGAACCAGACGGAGGGACAGACAAACAATGGTTATGCTGCTCCAGAATATTAAACCTTATAGGGTCGGAAATGTCTCCTTCACTGCGTTGAAAACGTTCTAACTGAAATTATAACTAACTTACATGTTGTAAGAGCAAACGATGTTTCTTTAATATACCTAGTATGTGTTTATATGATGAAAGTATGTTTTCAAAATGGAAATTCAAACTTAAATATATATGCCGGCTTTTAAATCACAAGTTAAGTTTATTTTTATCAATATAGAATATGAGAATGATCTTTAAGAAATTTCAATATTTCAATACTCATATATTTTATTTTTTCCGGCGTGCAGGTGCAGAAGAAGACACTCGATACGCAACCAATTCTTCCATTCTGCGGTCAATGCACGAAAATTAGTTTTCGACTCACACACGTTCTCGGTTTTGTGCCGATCTGTCATGTCAATTGGGCTGCTGGCCATCAATGTGCGGTGATGATGTCGTCGCCGTAATTTCTTATTTTCCATGCCAGCCTGCTTTTCGCCCCGCCATTGTCACCGAATTTTCACTGTAATTAAATTTTAAAATCTCCTCTTGTGTAGCCGCTGACACTTAACATTCTGGGGCTGTCTGTCATATTTAAGCATTTCTTGCTTTCAATTTTCCTCTTGGCGTGGCAAATTAAATGTTGAGAATTAATTGCAAGTGTGCTGTCTGAAGGACCTGCACAATATAGTACTTAGCATATATACTAAGCCTGGTGATGAGCTATGATTGACAACCGACACCGAAGATTGGCTAACGACGTGGCAATATTTTGTATAACTATTTCCAGGGCACCTGCATGAGGTAATACCAATGTAAACATAAGTGAGAAGTGTGTTTCCAATCATTGCCGTCATGTCTCGCATAAACAAATCCCAATTTAGTTGCTAACTAAAAGGCAACTCAATTGGCCAAGGGGAGAAAAAACCTCTTCCAAGAAGAGAATGCTCCACTTTATAGCAAGCAGATTAAATTATTCAATACCAATTTTGTGCCGTTTTTAGATCCGAATACAATACATTAGCCGACCATTTCCTGCGCCTTCGCTTTGATCTTTTCAGTAATCTTCTGATGCGGGTTAGAATGTCTTGAACATTTTCCGAGCAATTATAATTAAAATTTTGATGCTATGGGAAACAGACATTTCGAACTAATGAGTGTTCGGGCCAAACGGAAAATGGCTTTATTGCCGCTGGCCAAAAACATTCCGCCAAACTCGACTGAAGTGCATTTTAATTGCCGGCCACAAAATGCAGTCGATCTTGACCAGAGTCTACGTCTCCGTGTTCGTCACTCCCCTTAATTGCATCAAAAGCATAAACATACCAATTGTCGGTGGTCATATTTTTTATGTCAGCCCCTCTGATTTGCCTTGCGAAAAAAAGCATCCACTAATGTGTTTTCCTCCCGTGGTTTGTGTATTTTCATTGGAAACACATTGGCCCAGGCTGGCGGGCCTTAGTTTTTGGCTTGTGTTTGTTTTGTGTTTGGATTTTTTAATTATGTATGTATGTTTAGGCCTGTAAGTAAGGCAGACATCAATTGCAAATTGATTTTAATTTATGCCCGCTGGCGAGTGCGTGCAGGATTGAGCGAATCAATAAAAATATTCGAATGCGTATGGCGCACCTGCTGGATTTCCACCGATATGCTATGGGAATGCGAGAGGTGGGCAGATCCCAAGGCCAACCAGATCCACAAATCAAGCAAATGACTGTCGGCCCCGTCCAAAACAGAAGTTTATAAAAATAATCCCCAATGAACTCGTATTTCACACCCACTAAATAAAACCCTAAAAAAGATTGAAAACCAAACAAAAACAAGCAGCATTTGGCAACCGCAGACGACGTATAGGGGCGCATAGGATCGTTAGGAACTTTCCAATTTGACGCCACGGCTACGCCATCAATTCTCGAATCTAGACGAGTGTCATCCGCCGGCCACGCGAGAAAATTGAAATACCACACACAAACGATCCGTGGGGATGAGTCGCGATGAGGCGAGATGATGTGACTGTTCCATAGGCCAGCTGCCAAGATTGTAGTCCAATAATTCACGTTCATGTTGGCCATTTATTAGAGAACATAGAACATAATGTATTAAAAATAAAAATCCCATTCATGCTGCTAAGCGAAATATTTGACGTCTTTCGAAAATGCCCGCAAACTGTCACTGCGAATGAGTTACATGCAGTTTCAATATTTTCAAAATTCCAAGCGAAAGAATCAACTCAAATTGGTGGAAACTAAATATATTCAATTATGTTAATGGATTCCAAAAAATCAAAAATATGTATGTTTAATGGAAATTTTCGGTTGCGCCAAGTAAAATTTATTGATACAAATTCGTTCACACAATAATTTGTCAATAGGTCAATTTAATGTGTGTGCACTAACATAAAGCACCACTTAATTGTACAAAATTAAATTAAAAAAATATATATTAGAGCGGACTATGATATCGATTTTGATTGATTCCTATACAATCCCTATTAATACCTATTATGAAACCAAAAACCTATTAACTGGACAAATATAGTGCTAAACAACTTTATAAATAATTACATTTTTTTACTTTACTACATTAAATACTTTATTCACAACCACATTAATATCAATTATAACGTAAAAAATGTACATTTAAAGAGTTCTTTATTCCTTTGATATAACATAACAACTTTTAAATCATTTTATTTCTTATTATTAATTTAACAAACAAGAAAAATGTTCTTAAGGAAAGAAAAACTCTAGGCCCATACTTGAAGATGTTACAGCTTGTATGTATGTATATATTATTATAATTTGTAAGCTTTCCGAGTTTTTCATTATTATCCAAGATAAGGCAACAGTGTATCAAAGTCTCAACTAAAAATCGTAAATTTCGCGATAATCCCAAACCATGAAAACAAACTACCCACACAATATTCCTTTTTCCTCGGGGAGATTTATGCCGCCAAACACTTTGATAATGTAGCAATTTAGCGGGTGCTTTGTTTATTTCCCACTCTGCACTTGGAATTAGGTAAACTAATCATGGATATTTTTAGCGATAGGTAGCCGGAAACCCTTCCAGTCGTCATCGATGCGAGTGTCTGACCAGACCCGAGCATGTCCAGGCGAACGCCAGTGGAAGGCCAATCGAAACCGGAACCGGAATTAAAGCCGAAACGGAAGCGAGCCGCCAAGACATGTCCTCGCGACGGAGCTCCTTCCGCCGGAGAGAGAAGCCGGCCTTCGAGCGCTTCAAGGACCACTGCCGCCACTTTACGGCGTTTATGTTCAGCAACGTGGGCATCATCCTGCTGGTCACATTATACATAATCGGCGGAGCGTTCATATTCCAGGGCATCGAGATATTCGAGTACGAAAGGCTGAAGTCGGAGAAACCGCATCGATTCATCCCACGGAACTTAAGCGGGGAGTGCCTGACGCGTATTTGGGAAATCACTGCGCAGAACATTAGCTTCTTTGACCACCATGCCTACAGGAGGCGGTAAGTCAACTTCGCTTATTCCATATAATACCCAATCTATTTAAAAATATACATACGTCATCCTTGCAGGGTTAACGATGTGCTGCTGGATTACCAGCGAGCCATAGTGACGAAGCAGCTCAAGGGGCCCGACGTGGAGCAGTGGAGCTTCTCCGGCGCCTTCCTATACTCGCTGACTGTGATCACGACGATCGGATATGGGAACATAACGCCCCACTCCGAGTGGGGCAAGCTGGTGACCATCCTTTATGCGATAATCGGCATGCCGCTGTTCCTGCTCTACCTGTCCAACATTGGAGATGTCCTGGCCAAGTCCTTCAAGTGGATATACTCCAAAGTGTGTCTGTGTCGCATATGCCCAGGCGTAGCCAAGCGCCGGATTATCCGCGAAAGACGAAAAATGAGACAGTTGGCCAGAGCGGTGGGACTAAACAACCCTAAAGCTTATTTGGACATCCTATTAGCTCTTTCATCTCATTGCAGCTCCAAATGCATGACATGGAAAACGCCCGGGGCAGCAGTAGTTACACCAGCACTAGCAGCACTACCACTTCCAACAGCAGCAGTAGCGACTATACCAGGAGCTCCCGGCAGAGTTCTAGCTTGGTAGATATTCCGTACAGTGACTCTGACTCGGATATTGAGCGAGAAATACGAGGCAGCACGGACGAAATTACAGTTCCAGTCACTGTCTGCATATTCGTTATGGTCGGGTAGGAGAAACTTTATCTAAAACTGCCCACACAACTTCTAAAGGTTGTCTCCGGTTTCAGATATATCCTCTGGGGAGCCCTGCTCTTCGGCCGTTGGGAGGACTGGAACTATCTTGATGGCAGCTACTTCTGTCTCATTTCGCTTAGCAGCATTGGATTCGGGGATCTGGTACCAGGTGATCGGGTGGTAAGATGTTTTATTAACAAATTTATTAAAGGATGTTTTCTTTAACTGAAAATCTAAGATAGTTTACCTTAAATCGAGATATAAAAGTTTGACATTTCTATTTTTTAAGTATATATTTTGAAGTCGACGGTTTTTCTTTAATATACCTTACCTCCCAGATCACTGCCGATAGAGACAAAGTGGAGGTCAGCTTTATTCTCTGCGCCATCTATCTGCTGCTTGGCATGGCCGTGATTGCCATGTGCTTTAACCTGATGCAGGTAAATATGACTTCAGTTGACCAATACTTTCTTTCTTAACTGTACTGTCTCTCCCAGGAGCAGGTCGTCCATAATATACGCGCTATTAAGCGGGGATTCAAGGCCTGCTTTCGGTGCCGGAGCTCTTAAAAGTTATAAAGAAGTTTTGTCGTACAAAGTTATATTATTATTCACTGTTAATGTAGGTACCCCTAGACTAGCTTAAGGTAGAATTGTAAATATACTTAACTAGGCAGAATGTGTTCCTTTTTGGTAAATGTATAATACTTATAAAGATTAATGGAGATCGAAGAAAACCATTTTAAGTCTTCTGTTTTTATTCTGAATGGCAAGGACATACAATGCATTTGGAATACTGTCGTAAAGGCAGGACAATTACAACCAGATCATTATAGAATACGTCGTCGGAACACTCTAGATTTGCTTGCTCTTTCGCGTCATAAAGCCTTTCGGTCTCTGGGTTATCCGCTCCATCCTCTTCTGCGCGGCCACCAGTGCCTTCACCTGTCGATCCATTACAAGCGGCGCGGCGACTGCGATCTCTGCGTAGCTGGGCAATGTGGTAGACATCTTGTTCACACAGGACTTCTGAAAGTGTTTGTTGAGATGCCGAGACATGTGCCCCACAGACGAATTGGTCAGTAGGTCAAAAGCTGTGACTTTAAGGGCCTCGAATTGCTTTCGTGTCTTGCCCGTCACCTGTTTCCGTATGATCTTCTTCTTTGTGATGGTTACAGATTCCTTTTGGTTGGGATCATAGGCGGCCAGGGTCGTCTTAGGGTCCACGATCAATTTGCGGTTGCGCACTTCCAGCTTCATGGTGGGATTGGGAACCTTGGTAGAGGATACCGTCGGGTTTTTTTTGTTCTTTTTAAGAGGTGACCAGGCGGGTGCTGGCTTCGTTTTGCAGGGGTTGCCAGGCTTTTTACGAGTGTAGGTCCGTCTGGGAGGCAACTTGGGCGTAGAGTTATGGATCACGGGTTCCTTCGTTAAAACTGTGCCCTGTTTAAAGCTTGAAAGATTTTGGGGAGAAATCCGTGGCACAGAAAGACTTTCATTTTGGTAAACGGCTGGCAGCTGGAGTTCGGGGGATGGCAGGCGCAGGGTCGTGTAGGCCTGCTCCTGGCAGGGCGTTACGTTCACGGGGTCAATATCCATTTCCACTTCAACCAGTGAAGTTAGCTCAAAAGGTCGAGTGCGCGGTCCTTCTGGCGTTAGCTGCGGAAGTTCGTTCTCCTTGCCAGCCTTAGATCTCAAGGAAGATGTACTCGATGGGGTGCTCTTGGCCAGGGGCGTTGAAAGGTTTACTTCGGGAAAGGTGCGTCGCAGGGGGCTCCTCATCGTCCTGGTCCTCGTGCCCAAATCAACCTGCAAAGGGTCCGACAACATCCTGCTTTCGGGGCAACACCTTCGATCCGGAATGATGTTTTGGAAGGTGATGCGCCCCCTAACGATTTGCGGCATGAACAGCTCGCTTTCGTAGCCCGAACAATCTACCAGGACAACATTCTTGCCGGAAAGCAGCTGGATCTTGAAGTTCAGCTGTTGAGCAGGGTGCATGTTTAAGATTTGGTGAGGTAATACAAATGCAGTGCAAGTACTGAAAGTGTGTGAACAAAAGTGTCTGGCTGCGAATGGCAAAGATATAAATAACTACAAATTGTGTTTTAATGTCATTTTGACAAACCAAAAGAAGTGAGGTAAAACGAACTGTTATTTGTGTCAAAAACAAATAGGAACAAATATTATTTTCCTCCGTGACGCCACTCTTTCAAAATCTCAGGGTTGCATTGCAGCCGATGCTCAAGGATCGTGTTAGTGCTGGTAGCTATCGTTTAAGATATATTGTCCATGTAAACAAATTTAAAAAAGGAATTATATTAAACATTCTCAAATTTAAAAATTATTTAAGACATCCTTTAAAAATAATTTTTATTGCTTCTGTAAACGACTACCGCTAGTGTGAGCAAACTATCGGTAGTTAGCAGTGCCGTATCGATAACATCCAGCAAAATGCACTGAAGAAGCGAAAGGCAATTATTTCATATAATTTTTACGACACAAATCTGATTTTATTGATGAGCAGTTGAAAATATTCAAAGCTGCTATTTAATGTGAAGCCTATAAAGATAATCCACCGGAAATTATGAATTTCAGCCAAGGTATGAAGTGAAAAGTTTTATACTCGCAGTGAAAAGAAAGTGGATAACAATCAGAAACACACAAACACCTTTGATTAGGCCAGTAAATCGGAGGAAAATAATTAAACGAGTTTAGGTATGCACCGAGTGGTTTTCCTTTATTGCATTTTGCACATTTGCCACGCGGCAGACCAAGGCGAAAATTAGTTTTTGATGATTCATTTCAAAAACAAAACTAAAAACAGAGGAGGGTGGTGGACCAACATGACGTAGTGCTTCTTCCCCCCACAAGCAACCACCCCCTTTCCTGGGTTTATTATATCCACGAAAACATGTTTGATTCGTATATAATCTCGTTTTTAAAACCTACTTTAATATTTTAAACCTCTTTGTTGTTTTTTTCGTTAAGGTCATAATGGTATAATATGATGTCCGCAATATACAAAGAGTTTAGTTTTAAATGGGCTAATCTGCGACCACTTGGGTATTTACTTGGGGACCAAGTCCAGCATCTGTGGTCTTTGATTAGATTGACCGAGTGACCCAAAAAGATAAAACTGTCTGGGGGACATGGGAAGAAACCGATAATCTGGGACTGATTTCTTATTAGCTACCGACGACGGCTTAACAGTACATATTTATTTTCTATGGGAGCACAAACAACTAATTGGATCGGAGAAACCCCGATCAGCTGTGCTCTTATCAAGGCTTTATCAATATCTTTGAAAACAAGTAATGGCTACTGATTTCTTTGTGCTTTTAGTGAGTCACCTTCGGGCCATGTCGGAAATCAGTAATATTTCGTACTGCCAGGTGGTGGCCAATCGCACCTCGTTCTTCACCACCGCCTACAATGGCATACCGGAGACCCTGATACTGAACACCATCTTCTGGATCCTGCTTATCCTCCTGTTTACGACTCTGCGACACCAGGCGGGTGATTTTGGCCGTCTGGCGCTGGTCAACAGCAACGGCAGCAAAAAGCGCTGGACGGAGATCTTCTACTCGAGGGCCGCCAGTGTGGTGGATCCCCTGCCGAGCACCTCGTCCAATGTGTCTCCACGGCCAAGTGCCGCCTCCCAGGCAGTCGGTGACTCCACACCCTTGTCACCCATTCAGCCGGAAGAGGGTATCTTCGGCTGGATCAAGGTCACGCTTAAGTTGCGCAAGGAGACGATTCTGCTCCACACTGGACCGGATGCCGTGCACTACCTGTCCTTCCAGCAGCACCTGATGGCCGTCATGGCTATGGTCACCATCGTCTCGCTGGTCATTATTCTCCCGGTCAATTTCTTGAACGGGCCTAAGGAAAACCCATACGATGTGAACGCTTTTGGCCGTACCACAATGGCCAATCTCTCGCCGGACTCGCCCTGGCTTTGGGTGCACACGATTATCACAATTCTCTATATTCCGCTCGTGGTGCTCATCATGCGCCGTGCCTCGGGACGGAATGCTTTTAAGAAGGCCGCGACCCGCACCATAATGATATCAAACATCTCGTCCAGCGATCGTAACAAAACTGTGGTGAGAAACTACATGCAGGAGCTCTTCCCGGACGTCACCATCGAGAATGTCTCAATCGCGTATAACATTTCACGGCTTTATGTAAGGAACGCGGAGTTCGAGCGAGTTCACGATGCGCGTTTGTACTGCGAACATCACCGGAATAGGGACACCTTGATGGTAAGATAATCTTCCACAATAAGTAACCCAACCAATATCATATAATAATACAACCCGCAGGCCAAGCCGGACATGTGCTCTTGCAAGAAGGAGAACGCCTACGAGTTTTACCAGCGGGAAGAGCGCAAGTTATCCGGGGATGTGGCCCGTTTGCGTGCTTCCACGATGAACGAGCCCCTGGACATTGCGTTTATTACCGTGTCCACTGTGCAAGAGGCGCAGAACATCGTAACCCACTTCACACCCGGAACATACCGCCAATGGCACTTAGTGTTTGCTCCATCGCCGGATGATCTATTCTGGGAGAACCTAAACGTGAACAAAAGCCACTGGTACTTGAAGTTCTTCTGCGTTAACGCGGTGCTCTTTGTGGTTCTCTTCTTTCTGTCCACGCCAGCCATGGTGGTGAGCCTACTGAACAGCCGGCCATGGATAAAGGAAACGGAGGGCAAAATCTCGCCTCTCGTGTCTGACTTCCTGCCCACACTGATGCTCTGGACCCTGTCGGCACTGATGCCTGTTATTGTGGCCATTTCGGACAAGTGGATGCGTCACTACACACGCTCCAAGCAGAACTATTCGATCATGACAAAGTGCTTTGGCTATTTGCTAATGATGATCCTGATTCTACCCTCCCTGGGATTGACCTCTGCACAGGCGCTGCTAGAGTGGGGATTCACCAATGAGACTGATCGCTGGCAGTGCATCTTCCTTCCAGACCGGGGCTCCTTTTACATCAACTACATTATAACGGCTGCATTCATTGGTACTGCGTTGGAGCTGTTGCGCTTTCCGGAGCTGATTGTCTACATCTGGTCATTGCTGAAGGCAAAATCCAAAGCCGAGACACCGTACATCCGGAAGGCGATCCTAATCGAGTTTCCCTTCGGCACGCACTACGCCTGGACTACGCTCGTTTTTTCAATAGCCATCGTATACAGCGTGGCCTGCCCACTGATTATGCCCTTCGCCATGGTTTACATCTGCCTGAAACACTTTGTTGACCGCCACAATCTCTACTTTGCCTACGGACCATCGAATATGATCTCACGCAAGGGTGGCAAGATCCACTCGACGGCGGTTACGATGACCAAGTTCTCGGTAGTGATCCTGGTCCTGGTCATGGCTATGATATGCTACTTCCGGGGAGACGACGGCATGGCCCGCTTCCTGCTGCTTATCATCAGTCTAGCAATCACCCTTACTCTGTTCACCTTTATGTCACCAATTAAACGTTGCGCAGCTACGCGACGACCCAGCATTGTGGAGATTGCCGGTCCGGCGCCCATTTACGTGCCCGATGTGCTGAAAGATAATGGGGTAAGGACCAGCAGCGTGCGGCCCTCGGTCGCCGGATTCGGGGGCTACGGCTCGGACAGCGTGTCCGACTACGACAGCTCGCAGTATAGCGTCAACAGCGTAGAGGCGTAAATGGTATTAATGTCGAGAGACACTACATTTATTTTTGTAAAATATCTTATGAAGCCACTGATAACTTGGCAAGTTCACGGCTTTCATTTACATACGAAACAATGACAGGAGGATAACAGCAAGAGAATTTGTGATACCTAAACCAGCCTCAATGTCTTTTTTGATATGACCCCTGCACGCAAACGCGATAGAAGTATTTATTTTGTATCTGTATATAATCTACCTAGTTATTCAATTTTATCTGTAACAACTGTACATACACATATATATTTCTTTGCTGAATGCTTAACAAAGGGCTCGATGCTAGTTTGATAATATTAGGCAAATGAAACACAGTGCATTATAATATTTTCACGTAATTTTTTTATTTATGGTAAATAAAAAACTATTAAGTTTATGCGTATCCGTTTGCATACAGATTTACGAGTACGAGTTATAATTATTTAAATATTTTCTTTAGAAAATTAGCCTGCAAGTGTCACTTCTATTGTTAATTGAAGAAAATTATCAATTAAAAGTAAACAAAATACAATTTGTCCAATAAATGAGTTTATTGAACACTTGGTTCTTTTTTCGGTTTGAGGACATTTTTATTGCTGGCGCTTTCTACTTTCCGATGGTGATGACCTTTTCCACGGCGCTCGGCTTGTAAATTGAACGCTTAATTTAGTGGTTGATAAGGTAACTTACAAAACGAACTGTAGCAACTATACTACCATTAGCTGGGGGATTGTTCAACGATCTAGTTATAGAAAAAACCAAATGTCAGCTGGCAAAACTGAACATCGCTGACCGGACCAGGAACAATCCAAAAACTTCATTGGACTGTTAGTATGTATGGTAAATATAACTATTACAATCGAATCGGTGTTCACAGAAGCAACAGAGGCAACTTATGCCACATAATTGTATTGGTTTTGATTATCCTTGTCCCGCTCCATGTAGTCGCGATCGATGAGTGATTCGATGCGTTTCTTTAAGTCAGCGGGCTGCAATGCAAAACAAGCTTATTAGGCACATGCTGCTAATAATAGAAATACTTAATGGACCTACCTTGACGGGGAAGGTGAGCTGGTTGAACAGCTCCGTGATGAGTAGATTGTGGCTCAGCGTTTTCCGCATTTTCATGATACGTACAATAGCCGCGTCTATTTGATACTGACGATCCTGGAAAACACGCTCCTCCGTCGCCTTTTGCTCTTCGTTCTGGGGTGATAAAATAAAATAATAGTCTTTGTAAATTGCAATCAATAATCATTAATACGCACCGTCTCCTTCATCTGTATTTGGTTGATCTTGATTCTGAACAATTTGTTTGTGAACTCATTGTTGAAATCGAACTGATCGCCATCCAAAATTTCGCGACCCTTCGGTGTTTTCGTTATGACGCGGGCGCGACCACAAGCAAGGGATTGAAGCGTTCGGCGCAACTCTCCATCCTCGATGAGGGTGGCGGCCAGAATCTCTTCGTAGCTTAAAATTGGTTTATCGTTAAACAACAGCAATACGAGCGCTTGAAATAGCGAGACCAACAGTTCTTTTGGGCCCTTAAAAATGAAAGCAAACATTGCATAAAATACTCTGTTAAATTAAAAACCATATTTTAGTTACCGCATCAAACTGCGCACGAAGCATGCAATTCCCCAGCGTTGGCTGCCACTGCAACTTCCGTCCACTGTGCTTTTCCAGATAAAACTTATTAAAAATTTGCTGCGGATTAATGAACTGAGGCGGCATTGTGACTTCCGTGGGCGCATATGTTGGCCAGTAGCCCATGGTTAGAATGCTGACGCACAAATCCAAGTTGTGAACATCGCGGTTGTTGCTCAGCGCGTGTCCGCGGAACGCAATGTTGATATCCCGACTCAATTCCATGTCTTTGAACATGCCTTCCAGTTTGGACGTGAACCCCCCTCCGCACTCCTGTTTTAGTTTCGACAGCATACTCTTCTCGGAGTCCACTGAGGCCGATTTTCCCACAAGCAACCGTTTGGCCAAGTCCTAGAAAAGTTTTGCGATTAGTTAAATGCGAAATTCTATTAAAGGTCACAAACCTTTTTGTAAAACGCTTCAAAGACATCTTTGCCATGTATAAATCGAAACAGAACCATGATTTTGTCCAAAGTCTTCTCTAACTCTTCATCGGTGGTTCCCTTGTTGCCAGATCGCAGTTTCATGTCTACGTATTTAGCTAATTAAAGAATTAGGTTACATTAACCGTGTTAAAAAAAGTAAGTAATCACGGAATCTTACCAATCAGCTCAGCCGGCTTGTTGGCTCGTTGATTTATAAAGAACTCGAAGGCCTCGCGCAACGAATTGGTGAATTTCTCGTTGTGCTCGAAGCAGCTTCGAACGATCACATCCATTTTATCCTTGAAATCGAGCAAATCTTGGACCATACTCTTATCCTTCTCAGGATCGATGACAATGGTGCGTCCCTTTTTCTGCACAACAAAGCAATAATATAGAGTTTATTTAATATAACGTATAAAGATCTTTTTGATTGCAATTATACTTTTCAATAAGAAACGCATACCTTAATGAAACCGTTAAAGTTTCCGCACAATTCAGAAGTTCCATTTTTGACTCGGCTAAGCAGCCCGTATAACAGAGTGAGGTCGTTCAGTCTGTTATCTTCCAACAGCGAATCCAAGCCCTTCTGTAATATAGACGTTAGGTGCTCCGCGAGCAGCTCCTTTTCCACATTGTATATCAGCGGATGTCTACGAAAATGCTTTTATAATGTATTTTCAGTGGGGGACTGCTATTGCTTACTTTGTGCTAGAGTCCAGATAGTGCCGCAAGCGCTCGTTCTCCTCGGCCAAACGTTTATTGACGTGCTGTAAGTACTCGGGCACCTCCAGTTCCTGCATTTTTCGTTGACTCTCAGCCTTGTACAGTTGGTTGGTTGCGTCGAGGAACTTTTCTTCAAAGGAGCTAGTGTAGATTTGCAAGTCGCAAAGCATGCGAACCAAACTCTTCAAAAGACCACGGTCCACGGTGGACCCCTGGCGTTCTTTTTCGATCAGTGTTAGTAAACCGTCGACAGTTCGCTTCTGGACGACGCTGTTCTGAGCAAAATGGATCCGAAAAAGGTCCAGCCCCATGTCCCAAATCGAGTGAATGGACGAGTTCTGCAGTACATAGGTTCGGTCCATGTACAGAAATATGCTGCGAATCATGATCATTTGCTGGCAGAACGAGAGCCACCAGTGATTGATCTTCTCCAAAAGGATCTGCATGACAATTGGGAGTGTTAAGTGAGCTTCAATCTGTGCTCCCTGGGCAGAAACTTACCAGTTTGTCCATGCTGCCGCCGGTGAGCTCCTTGAGCTTTATATTACGCTTTACGTGCTGCTCCGTTAGCTCCTTGAGTTTCGTGTACAACTGCGCATCCATCTTGTGGCTGCACATGTTGACCACCGCCTGGTAAAGCTCTTCCAACGAATATTTGATGGGCTTCGAGAGCTGAATTGCGATAACGGCCTCTTCGAGTTTCACGTACGTGTCCTCGGAGTAGTTATCGGGCAGTGTGGGCTTAGCTAAGGGAACAAGTTGACTAAGGTGGTGGAAAGAGTTTTCTCTAAATAGCACGTACCCTTAAAGTTCTTAATCACTATCTTCTTGACATCGCCGGGCTTGCTGTTGTGTATGGCCCCCACGCGATTAAGAAGGTTTGAGGTAGTTGAAGCCGTGCGAATCTCGCCATGGCTGCCGCTTAGCTTGGAGAAGTTTGGCAAGCGCTCGCCGTTAGTGGACGCGGAGTTCATGTTTTGGGCGGCAAAGGCACTGCGGCCCAGGCTCGAGGCGGCGGTACCGGCAGCGGCAACGTTCTCGGCCTTCTTCAGGCAGGCGGCGATGTTCTCGGTGTTCTCGTGCAGCTCAGTTGTGTCCATGGGCTTGTACTTCTTGGCAGCACTCATAGCTTTGGGACCAAGCTGCCCGCAGGCTTCACTCCTCTCCGCGCCTGCTCCTGCTCCTTGCCTTATCCTGTTCTGCTCCCGTCGCACCGGTCTGGATTTGTACTGTGCATATAGATTTGTTAGTATTTGCAGGCTCTGCTTTCGCACACGAAATCGCTTCGTTACTCACCGGTTAGAGGACTATTAGCAATTATCCCTGAAGGTTTTTGCGACTTTTGCACTGGCCCCGACAACAAATTGGCAACTCGCGACCGAAAGGCGAAGACACTTCTATTGCAATTTCCGGCTGCGGAGTAGACTTGTCCGACAGTCAGCTTTCCGGTGGCCAAATTGTCGTCCTTCAGTGACAAATGGGCTTTCCAAATCGAATATGCTTTGCAATTATGAGTCCACAGCTAGCATTATATTATTTGGTTTTTGGTTGCATGCGGAAAATATTGCTTTGTAGTAGGGATGTGGATATCGGGCAAATCAAAACATCGATTGGCTGCGGTAATCGATAGCCTAGCGAAGAGCACTAAAAAACGCCATTGCTGTTAATCAGGTTAACATTTTTTATCGGTGTAGGCATGGGACATTTGTAAATCTAAAAATGTAAGTGAAAAGTGTTTGCTGTGTCGCTTCGTATATAGCAACTTAAGAATTATTTATCTATTCTAGCAAATTCCAGATACCAAACGCCCGAGTGTAAAATGAAAACAAACCCACAGAAAAAAGAATGTTTAAAAAATGGACAGCGAAAAATAGACGGTTCTAACTTTCCAGCCAGAAGAATACCCAACAATGTTTTAAAACGCACTCTTGAAATCGCAACCAGCTCAGAAGATGGCTTTTGGCTGAATAAAAACACATCGTGTGCTCCATCAACCAACTACGAATTATACAGTGGGACAAAACGGTCCGTTACCTCAGAAAAACTGCGGTTGGCACGAGATTGCCTTATGCAGCGGGATTATAAGAATTTGGCCAAAATTCTGGCCTCCAATCATTTCGGGGACACTTTACTTCAAAAGGCCTCATTCACAGTCTTTATGGAATACGCCGGATGTCTTCAAAAATGCCCAAAACTGAAGGCAAAGACAGCAGCAAAATCACAAAAAGAACAGACTCCTCCAAAAAATTCCACAGTTGAGGAGAAAACATTACAATCTATATCCTAGATTTAATCATTTAATAATTAAAAAAAATAATTTTATATCGATTTGTAATTTTATACTTTCACTAAGTCAACCAACCAATTAAAACGATTTTCTATTATTTTTGGTAAAAACACAACCTTATATATGTGTATGTGTAATAAGCGTTATGTTCTTCCTTTTATTTGACTTAAATATAATATCAATATCTTTAAGGTTTTGCTAAATAAATACTGAAACGTGTGTACAAAATGTGTGAAAAGAAAAAGGTGTGTGGTGTCCTAAAAAAATTATTATATACAGTTTAAATTTTCAAAATGATCATATGTATCAAACAAGTCTCGATAGAAGATACCTTGTACATTATTTATATACGTTTATATATTGGATACTTAATTGGTAACAACTTCTAGGTACAAAGGGCTCTTGTTATCCTTTTTGCATAATTATGCTCGATTTCCTTTATAATAGCATTGGTGGCTTTTAAATTGGGTTAGTTTGAGTAAATTGATATTTCTTTCAACGTTGTTTTATAAACTCTTCGCCAAACCATTAACAAAAGATTTAGAATACTTGAGTACGAGTGTAAGCTAAGATCCCGACCAGGTCGGGGCTTATGTGGATATCGTTAGTATCTGTTTATGGCAGCATATAGAATAAGCATACAATACATCATTTCATCTCCTGACAACTTGAGTAACTTTTGCGCACAGCGTGTTAAGCTAAGATAAATTTAGATTTAGTTACGGTACGAATTCCATCATATATTCAGTTATCAAAGCAATTCATCGAGGCGCTACTTTTTGGGGGGAAAAATACACAGCAAGGACCTCTACTTAAAGGAATCTGATTGAAATATGTAAATGAGTAGTTGGCTTCTAAGCTAATGGTGGCTCACTTGAGACGTTTTCATATTTAGTCTTAGGTAAATAAATAGTCGCACGCCTTGTGATAAAATGCTTGTAATAAATAAAAACTTGTCTTATATATCATTAATATTTAAAAAAACGCATACACACACATCGATATATATATCTATATACAATCACGCTCAGCCACACACTCAGCACAAACAAAAGATTGATTAATCTGGCAGCATATGCACGAAGCTGACAGGAAACATGCCCTTCCTCGCTGGCTGTCCCTCGATGATGCCCTCCATCCAGTTCTCGTCGTCGGTCCGCTCATTCAGCACGATCAGGATCTCGCCCTCTTTGAACTCCAGCTCATCATCGTTGTCCGCCACGCAGTCGTACAGAGCTCGGCACCTCCGCTGCCCATTCTGTTGCAAAGATTAGATTAGTTTAGTTGGGGTTGACTTTGATGAGAACGAGAAAATAAAGGTCTTACATAGTGGAACTTTCCGCCTGGTCCTGGTCCGCCGCTCTTCGATGGATTGTCAGGCGATGAGTTGAGCCGATCGTTGTCACTCGATGACACATTCGATTCGGCGGAATGGTCCAGACCGCCGCCAGAACTGTCCATATCCGTGTGCCAGGACTCATAGTCGGTGAAATTGGACGACTGATTAATCAACTGAAATATTTCAAAGGATAAGCATTAGCCAAGCTGAGCAGTGCAAAAACGTAGAGAGCAAACAAAATGTAACACAGAGAAAGATCGATTCAATATTTGTAGTAAGTGAGTATGAGCGCATAGGGTTAGAGCGTTTGAGAGATGCACAAAACGAGACACTTAGTAGTAGAACGACAACTGGAACAGCAACGACAACAATAAGTTTGGATAGTTCGCTTGGCAAAGTATGAAAGTGCAAATGAGCGGTGGTGCTTGCCATTTACCGTCTCCTCGCTGGACTGGCATCTCAGTGTGATGATTTGTTGCTTGCGCTGCAATTTGTTTGCCGAGTGCGGATCAGATCAAATACAGAGAAAGGTATGGGTTTTTGAGCTACAGGTCCTTTCAATTACCCACTACACGCTGTTTGGGGCACTTACCTTGCGAGGAGGCGCCACAGGACCTTCGTCCATAGAACTGATGCTCTCGTTCGATTGGCCGTTTGAAATTTCACGTTCTGTGGGAGAGGACAAAAATTAAGGTTTGACTATAAAGATTTGGCGATCAACAGAAGCTTACCAGATGGCGGTCCTGGTGGTGGAATCTTAGGCCGTGTCAGCGCCGACTTGTCCACATGCTTTAGCGTGGGCAACTCGCCGGTGGGCGGCAAAACCAGTTTGGCGCCCGCTAAATGGATATTTCGGTTCAGCGACTCACCGCTGGGCGAACGCTTATGGCCAAAGGTAGTCATAGCGGGCATAAGGCTGTTGTTGCTCCCGTTGCCCGACCCTCCCGGATCCTGAGAAACACCATAACCGTATCCTCCTCCGCCTCGAGGACTGCTCTCAACACTCCGAAGATGCGGCAGTGTGCCGTACGCCACGTCAAGCGACTGGTTTTTGTGGTTAATGGCGCGAATGTCGTTGGCATCAAAGTTTTGCGAGTGGCGAGGCGGATGAGGCAATGTGCCGTAGAAGGAACTGGAAGAAGCGCTACCTAGTGTCCCGGGAGGCGGGGCCGGAGCCGTACGCTTCTTCAGCGAGTTCATATTGGCCGTAGACGTGGACTTCCGTGCGCCTGTCACATGACCGCCCAGATCACCCTGCATGTTCAGGCTGTTTCTCGCAGCGCGGACGCTCTGACTGGAGGCGGAACTGGGACTGGAGCCACCGTTTCCGGCCCCACCGCCACCCACGTTAGTGGCACTCCCTAGGTACTGGCCCACGCTTATGTGCTGCTTGGGTGATGTGCCCGCCGAATGTGTATAGCTGGGCAGACCGGAGGGCAAAGTGAATTGACGGCTCGGACAGTTGGCGATTGGACTAGAACTAGACTGTATGGAGTCGCAAGTGGAGGAACGTGAGCGCAGAACGGGCGAGTCCCCGCCAGCAAAACTGGGGGGACGCGAGCGGGATTTCTGCAAGCAAACCAAGCAGGGATCAGCATGGATTTCAAATGGATTGTAAGAATAACCTACGCGCTCGTCGATGACTGTCTCATCGTCGCTAAAATCCGTCGAACCATCCTCATTGGGCAGATTCCAATCAGTGTTGATGTGGTCGAAAGCGCTCTTCTCCCTCTTGATGGCACATTCAATCTGTAAAATATAAAATATTGCTTATTTTGTTTCCAATTAAATACATTAGATAACTCTTACTAGCTCCTTGCAGCTATTGTGTCCCATCTCTTTGGCAATATCCAGCGCTGTCTTGTTCTGTGAGTTCTTGAGCTCGTAATCCGCCCCCGAGCGGAGCAGTAGTTTCATGCACTCCCTGCGATCATGAAGAGCACACAGATGAAGCGCCGTATTCTTTCCGGTAACGTCCAGCAGGCCGGCCGGGTTGGTGGCCTTGTTGAGGCCCTTGGGAGGCATATTTTGGATGAGGAAGTCAACTATGTGCAGCGTGGATCCCATCTCGCGCAGCACGGCCAGATGGAGGGCCGTCTCGCCAGCATCCGAGCTGGGCAGACAGCAGGTGAGATCTGCTCCTTCCGCCCACACCTGGAGCAACTGACTCATGTCCGCATTGACCACAGCTTGCTCTAAATCGCAGCGCAAGTCGTTGTCGTCCGAGCAGGTCCGCATCACATAGCGCTTAGCCACATACTTGGCGCGTATGAAGTCGTAGCGCTCCTCCCTGCAAACACAGAATGCAACTTATGATATGGACACTATCACCCAGGTCCAATTGAAACATACATGCTGCTCTCGTGCTGGAGCTTGCCCCTGCCCAGCTTCGCCTCCATAATGTCGTTCAGCGTACTGTTTCCCATGGCACGGGCGATCAGAAGGTTTGCCGTGGTCAGGTTGTCCAGCGTGAGGCTCTGGATGCGCGAGTGGTGCACCCCAAGGTCGCGATGCACGCCAGAGCACTGGATGCACACCAGAATGCCAAAGTTCAGGCTGATCCAGGTCACATCGTTGCGCGATCCACAGTCGCAGCACCGATCGTTTCCTGGCAGCAGCTGGACGTAGCGGATCACAGTCTTCTGCAGCTCCACCAGACTGGGACTCATCTGAGGATTAGCGTGCTGGAAGGCTTTGGTCAGCGCCTTCTCCTTGCAGTTCACCAGCACGGCCATCCAGGCCTTCTGGTCGCCCTCATCCTCCGCCTGAAAGTGATACGGACGATTGTCTGAAAAGTGGAAAAGAGGAAAAGTCAGTAGAATTAGAAAAAAAAAAAAGGTATGGGGCAAAGCTTGAACAATTCATTCAGCTTTTTTCTTACAGCTTATCAGATCAAAGCCGCGCTTATCATCTGGCACTGGCTTAATCTGGCAGGTGAGGAGATTGACGCGCGTTGGCGGCTTCGACTCGTCCGCATGGAAGATGTCGAGGAAGCCGTCACTGGTGACCCGGCAACGTCGTTTCTGCCACACGCGGCGCACCTTGCCCTCGCTCTTCTTGAGCAGGTGGCCCTGCCGGGTGACGCCGTGGTGCTTGTCGCCTTGCAACTGGTGGAGGGAGTAGCCAGCTCCTCCGCTCCGGCTCTCCGACGACGGCACATTGTCCACTCGCTCAAAGTCCGGAGTGCTGCGAAGGACTGTTCGCAGGTCCAACAAACTTCGACGATCCTCGTCCTGTTTCTGCTTAATCTCGTGCAGCTTCTCGCTAAGATCGCCGATGTAAGTGCCAAAGTGCTCGATCGTCTGAAGACCGTCCTTGAAATAGCTGTATGGATGGGAAACAATATACCTAAAGATATTTTCCAGGGAATATTGTGCATATTAACTCACTTGCTCAGTGCGTGATAATACTCAACAAGGTGCTGCAACAACTCGATGCCTGTTTTGGTTTTGATGTCCTTGTACTTGAGCAGATACTCGCATGTCTGCAGTTGGTAGAGACGGCGCTCCTTCTCCATTTCTTCGGCTACCACGGCGGCGTCGATCTCTGTACGGACCATGCCCGCCTCCTTGGCCTGGGCCTTCTTCTCCTTCTCGATCTTGATAAACTTGGCCTCGTAGTCCTTGGCTGCCTTGTCGAAAGGCCGCTTCATATCGCCCTTAACGCCACGCAGCTCGCTTTTCAGCATTGAGTCCACCGGAAACATTACAATGTTGTTGATGTTTTGCATCTGTTTTGGTGGGTAAACAAATTAGCACACAGATAACGCTCTCCAAGCTACTGATATGTACCAGGGTTTTCATCAGCGCGCTGAGCTCCTTGGTGACCACGCTGAACTTGAGGAACGCGGCGCCAATATCCGGCTCATCCTGTTCGATGACCTTGCCCCCCAGACGCTCCAGTGCCCGCACCATAAACATCTCATTGTCCACATGTGCTGTAAGATAAAAGGATCCCCACAGATAATTCGCATGCAAATAATTTATATGGTAGCCTATCTCAGAAGCTGTACTCACTGTTTCCCGAGTTGTGGATGGCCTTGACCGCCTTTTTTAGCTTTGTTAGACCCTCCCGATCAAACTCTAATCGCTGTAAGAAGAGAAAGCCACAATTAGTCAATGAAATTTAGATTATCTTTGAATATTAAGCACAACGGATGTTTTTATGGTTCTGAAGTTGCTGCTATCATATTAATATTGTAAATCAATTTATTATACAATTTTAATGATCACTTTAAATATAAAGTTGTAATTACTTTTATACTTATTTGACAACTATTTTCTAATAAAACATGTCATTAAAATATGGTTGTTTTTATTTTCAAATTGATATGTTTTTGAAACATTAGGCAGCACCTTCTGTGATCTAAAGGAGCAGGCACAATGCATTCCCGATCTCAGCCAAAAATGGGGAGACAATATAGAGGAAATGCCTTGGATGGCAGCCGAATGAGCAATATTCTCTGATTGAGTGCGCGTCAATATCGGCATTAGGTATTCAGTTCGCCTGTTGGTTGACCAACCCCCTCAGTGTTCCCACATATTTTATGGCACTAGCTAATTGAAAATGTTCGACAAGGTCACTTCTATTATTAAACTTAATAACCGAACAAGCCCCATTTCAAATGCAGTCGCATACACCAATTAAGGCACCAAGTGAAAAAGATTTGAAGCATTTCTCCTTACCAATGCACATCCCTTTTTTCATCATTAATGTTTTAATGCAGATGACCCTTTCGATAAACAAAAACCGGAACAACAAAAACTATTATTTTATCCCGTTTCTGAAGTAGAAGGAAAGAGTTCGTTTCCCTCGTTGACCCATTGACTCCACCAATTGCTTTCAATTCAAAATGTTCTATAAAAAATTAAATTAGCCGGCAAGGGATTCAAATTCGCCTGGGAATCACATAAAAATCGGTAGAGATCGTTTACCTTCTAGATGAAATCGAAATATAAGCTCCAGGCAAGTAACTGGGCAATAAAAACTGAAGATTAGATTAAATTTTATGTGCTGGAAAAAATGTACAGGCGAATTGGCGAAGAGCGGGCTCCAGGGGAACCCTAACTATTTGCGATTGCAATTCGATACTACGCGATAGCTGCAAACATCTGGGGACCATCGAACCTCTAGCAATCGGCTGGAGAAGATTAGTCATGAGCAGAGGTTGAGCAAATTACTGGGAATGCAAACAACACGCCTAGAACGAAAACAAAAACCAGCTAACAATATTCGTCAACTTGTTTCTCTCTCAGTTGACGAGTTGCCCGGCCAGTTGGATGTTTTGATAACAAAAGATGCTAATTTATAATAAGTCAAAGCCCCAGAAGAAGGCTAAAACCGCAACACTTTGTTATAGAAGCGGCCAAATGAATGGCACACAGAGAAACTTTTGGCTGAACCAAATTAAATTTCATTTTAGACAGTTTTACAGCTGCTCCGAATATAATAAACACGCAATGGGAGGGACTGGCTGAAAAAATGAAATAAAATTTATTTAACTGGTGGGAATGGAGGTCACTGGGCTGCTTGGGCTACACCAAAAATCCATCAGCGAAATTAAATATTAAATGGTTGATGTGGTGTCCAAAAAGGCGGCCCAGAGTTCCGGGAAAAAGTGGGAATGACGTGACCAATAAATCGTCTAATTTTGTTTCGCTGGGAGCTGCATTTGCCGAGGGAATTAGAGCATATATGTTGCACAATCGGGCCACTCTGGGTGCTTTCTGAATGACAAAATATATGAATTTTCCACTTAGGCAGTCAGTGTTTTCAGTGGGCGATATATCCCCACCGACTTAGTGTCCGGACGGGAATAGCTATAGCTCACTTTTCGCTTTTCTTATCACACGCCTTTTCCGGCCTTTTCTTTGTGTGCTTAGCTTTATCAGCTGGAAGACGGGGTGAACGTAATACATATATATGTATATTCGTAAGAAGCGACATTACAGCTGTCGTGAATAAATATAGAAATTGCAGCATGCTCATGGGGAAAACACTCCGACTCTGGCTCCCTCTTCCCTGATCCTGCTTCCATCTGCATTGATACAGTCAGGAATGCACTTTGTATTTTCATAATACTATTTTTATGGAATCGAGAAAAACCACCTTGCGGGAAGAAAGAGAGAGCGAGAGCTGGTGAGAGGGAGACCGCATTAAAATAACAGGCGGTGGCTCATTTTGGCGCTGAGCCAATTTACAAATTTTTTTGCAGCCCCCCTGTGCAAATAATAACAATCAGCATTGCTTTGCAGGGGGCGTCGCCTACCTCGTTCACTGCAGTATTGTGCGGCCATATACATAGCTAGTCATCCTCCGGTTTTCACTTTCAAGGAATTCTTACTAACGAATTTGAGCTAAAATCGATTCGTATGAGCAGTCTAAGAATAAGTGTTTTTTTAAACCACAAATGATTTACATTTAAGTCTATATTTGTAGAATACGCAATGAAAAATAAACGAGACAAAAAAGGAGATTATCGAGAAATAAAAAATATTAATAACTTTTTGGAAAATAATAAAATCTTTTATCGTATTTAGTGACAATGTTTAATGACATAGGGAAAAAACAAGGGATTGCAAAAGTATCAGTCCTTCAAAATTTAGTTGTTTATAAAAAGTTAGTTTCATCGGTTAAAAAGATATGGACCGTTACAAAGAATAACAATGATAAGTAAAACTTAAATAATATTTGATAATTGGTTTTAAAACATTGTTTAAGCTTTTTAAAAAACTGTTGGTATATTACGAAGACTATTGCCCCTTGCCTTAACTTATTGTAATATTTGTGTAAACAAAATTCAACACAACATTAGGACGTGAAAACAGGAAAAGAATTTATTGAATTGATTTGTGTTATTATTTATATTTCAATCTATAGTACACTAAGTCTTTTTAAACAACGAAATACTGCTTCTTGATCTATGATTGCGAGTCCCGGAACACACCTGTGTTATGTCTTGATTTGCTCATCGGACACCTTGAACTTTTGTTTTGGTTGTGGCTATAGAGACGGAAAGGTGCCTCAGGCAGTAGAGGCATACAACTGTGGTTCCATTTAGACAGGACTTACCTCTTCCAGTACGCCAATTGTATGGCGGCAGTCGGGCATCCGAGAGGCGAAGGTGGAGGTGGTGGGCGAGCTGTAGTCGGAGCGCGTCTCCTCCACAAACTCGGACACGGCAATCAGGGATGGCGGCATTTTGTTCAGGATACGTATCACTCACACGCAAACGGACACACACACTCGGCACTCACACAGACGCGAAGCACACGCACACCAGCTTGCGCCCAAGGCCGAATGGAAGTGGGAGCGGGATGGCGAATAGCAGAGAAACCAGGATAACGCCTATGCACTGTACGTAGTGTCTCTACGCCTTTGTTCACTCCCGATTTGTGTTGTTGCTCGTCGCACTTTCCCTGGCACTATATCCATAAATCCAAACACTGGCGTTCTCATCCTCTCGCGATTTGGGTTTTTTGCTTTTCGCTTTTCTGCGTTTTCGGTTGTAGTACTAGTACTCCACGATTAACGATGACGGAGGAAAATGCGCATTGCCCGGGCAACGGGTCCTAAAATTGCGGGCCTCATGGCAGCGGGAACAGGAACACACTCGGATTAGGTCTTGCGGCACTGGACATGGTCGTCGTTGACCTAACTTTAGGCGTGATTTAATACTTTTGTTTTATTGCGATTTGTGTGCTGCTAGCGTCTCGATGAGTACAGTGAGTGTTGTTTTTGCCCTATCGATATGTATACGGCAATCGATTATCGATTACAGTCCTAGGACTCACAACTGCGCTCGCCGAGAGCTCGATAACATTTATCGGCTAGCAGCAACGCGGTGTGGGTTTCGTTCGGTTTTCCTACATTTTCACCTGGCATTTGCTTTGCAATTTAATATAGACTGCATTTAAGATGGCTGGCAAGCGACAGGCCACCTCGAACCTGAACCACGACAACTGGGACCAGGAGGAGGAGCCCGAGGAGCGCGGCACTTTCCGCACAGCCACCGAGGAGGAGCTGAAGACACGCGTTATCAAGAAGGCGCGCCGCAAGATAGTCGGCGGATCCGCCGGCCCTGGCGAGGATGCCGCCGATGAGCCGCCTGCAGAGCCCAAGAGCGTTTTCAGCGGATTCTCCGGTGAGTAGCTGGTCAGTGGCACTTCTGTGGGGCTTGCTCATTCATTGCTTGGTTGATTTTAGGTTTCGGCAAGCCGGCTGCAACCGCGGCAGCTTCATCGCCATTCTCCTTTCTGGCCAACCTGCCGGCCAGTACCACTAACACTAAGGCCTCCTCCACCAGCGAGCCAGCCAAGCCCTTCGTGGCCAGCTCCAGTGCGGCCGATAAGCCGGTCAGCTCGAGCATTTTTGGCAGCGTCACCTGCAAAGCCCCGCCCTCGGTCAAAGAATCGACAAGTACCACCGCTGGCGCCAAGCCGACAACTTCGATTTTCGACAACATATCAGTGACTAAGAAGCAAAGGGGCGAACCGAAATCGTCGCTGGATAGCAGCAGTGGGAAACCGGCCAGCGTCACCTTGGAGTCCTCCCAGTACCGAGAGAGCGTGGCCGAGCTGAATCGGGCCGTCATGAAGTTCCTCCAGGAACACATGGACAAGAGTCCCTACTGCATACTAACGCCAGTGTTCAAAAACTACGAGAAACACCTAAAGGAGCTGCAGGACGAGGAGAGCGCTAGAACAAACTCCACGAAGGCAACACCACCACCGCCACTTTTTGAAGTCCCAGCTGCGGTCGTGCCCACTGCATCGTCGCCATCAAAGCCGGCTGTCGCGTTTTCGTTTGGCAAGCCCAGCACCACATCGGCCTTCGGCAAGAAACTCAACTGCACTGTTACCAGTGGTGGGACGACTACCACATCCACTATACCGCTATTCTCCTTTAGCAGTTCGGCAGCTTCCAGTGGATTGTCGCCGTCCTCCGCCAAAATAGCAGCTCCTGCCACCAGTATCTTTAGTTTGGCCTCAAAGCCTGCGGGGGAAGTCAAGGCCGATGATGCACCTAAACCCAGCATTTTCAGTTTCGGGGCGAAGGATACCATCACCAAAAAGGATGATACTTTGGCCCCGCCACCGAAAACTAATGGTTTTAGTTTCGGGCTAAAGAGCAACAGCGACGACAAGCCCAGTACCTCATTGTTTGCAGAATTTGGCAAAGCTCCCGACCGAGCTGGAGATGGCATAAAGGGTTTTTCGTTCACCGCCAGTGCCCCACCCTTCTCCTTCGCAAGCATCCAGCCGCCAGCAGCAGCTGTGACCAGCGGAGAAGCTGAGGATGAGGAAGACAAGCCGCCAAAGGTCGAGTTCAAACAGGTGAAATGATTACAGAATGCACTAGATAATGGAAAGCTAATTCAGATATTATATCTTAACAGGTAGTGGAGGATGACGCCGTTTTCTCGAAACGGTGCAAGGTGTTTATTAAAAAGGAAAAGGATTTTGGGGACCGCGGCGTGGGCACGCTGTACTTGAAGCCGGTTAAGGGCATGGAGAAGACCCAGCTTCTCGTGCGCGCCGACACCAATCTCGGCAACATCCTCGTCAACCTCATTCTGACCGAGGGAATACCCTGCCAGCGTATGGGCAAGAACAACGTGATGATGGTCTGCGTACCCACGCCAGAGGACTCTAAGGCCACATCCCTGTTGCTGCGTGTGAAGACTGGCGACGAGGCCGACGACTTGCTGAAAAAGATCAAGGAGCACATCAAATAGGGGATACACAGCTAACAAAAAATATTTCGTACTTCTAAATGTTGTTTAATCGGTTATATTTTAAAAACTAAAAATACGAGTCCCTGGAAATAGAACACAAGAATGTACACAAAATCAGTCCACTGTGGTTACAACGATTTTGGCTTCTATCATGTCCTTAAGATTGATACTTAAAGAAGGCAATTCTTCAGCAGAATCGTCTAATCTGCTCACATATTGGCTCATTATGCGTTTGGCTCCAGAGGGACAGGCTAAAAAAAGTGCAGGTCAGGTTTGGAAATATATGTTGGGAGTTTCAATGAGTTACTAATGGTCTCCACTGTGACGGTTTTGGTGCGGCGGTTGACATAGGTGCAGTTGCCGGCGAGAAACTCGGTTGTCTTGGAACTCGTATCTCCCTTTGTCCTCTGCAGCTTGAATATAATCGTATCGCCTCTGGTCGGCAAGTTGGTGAGCGGAGATGCACTCTGCAGCAGGTCCTTAATAATATCTAAAGCCCCATTATCCTTCGGGTCTAAAATATGTTCACTTAAATTTAATTTCGATTACTTTTTAAGTGATCGCACCTGGAATTGACTCTACATCCGAGTCTGAGTCTAAATTAGTGTCATCTACCAGCATGACATCATCGTCGGAATCGGAGATAAAATTGTCAGCGCAAGCACGCGCCGGTGGAATTTTAATATCCTTTGATTCCAACTTAGGCTCAATTAGAGTTATTACGCCTTTTTCTCCCAGAATTACTCCGGCATAAGTTTTAACAGCTGGACGAACTTTTTCAGGTTCAGTTGTATCGAGCGGATGATTTTCTTTAGCTGCAGTATAATCGTTCGGAAGAGTTGGATCAGCTTTAGTTGTAATGACCGGATGAATTTCTTCAGCTACAGTAGAATTATCCGGAAGAGTTAATTCTGCTTCAGTTGTATCGACCGGATGAATCTCTTCAGCTATAGTAGAATCGTCCGTTAATTCTGCTTCAGTTGTATCGACCGGATGAATCTCTTCAGCTACAGAGGAATCGCCCGGAAGAGTTAATTCTGCTTCAGTTGTATCGTCCGGATAAGCGTCTTTAGCTAAAGTAGAATTGGCTGGAAAAGTGCTTTCCATTTTAGTTGTATCAGGAAAAGTTACTTCAGCTTCAGTTTTATCTTCTGGAGTAATAATGTAATCTTCAATTGTATCTTTTGACAAAGGTGTTTCATCTGCATCATGTACAGATGCGGAAAGTGATTCGTCTTGCACTTTAACCTCTTTTAAGATGTCCGAATGCATAATAGTTGAAAAAGCCTTTTTCTCATTGACTTCCAGTTGTATTGCTTCATCGTTAACTGTCAATGGCTTTGCAAACTCTTTCGCAGTGTCATTCTGCGGTATAAGCCGTCCATTGATTGGTTTTAATATTATAGTTTCTAATATTTGAACCTTGGGCTCTCTACGGGGAATTTCAAATGTGCGCGCAATATTCGAGTCGAGGTCCAATAGGGGGCATCGAAATGAGATCGAAGGACGAGGTAGTGTTTCATCTTCCCCCCCTACCGCATTGTCAATAACCTCAGGCAAAGGACATTTTGTCTTCTTGGGAGTGAAAGCCTTGGGTGCATGTTCATCCCCATCCCCTTCTCCTGCTGTTAAATGAGATGTCTCCGATGGAATCTCAGTCGATTCGGGATCATCCCTCTCAGCTCCTGTTAACTGAGATGTTTCCGATGAAACCACAGTCGATGTCGAGAGGCTCTTGTCTTTGGAATGCTCCAGAATAAAAGGACTGTGAGCTTCGTCTTTCTCCAGCCCTATTACATGAGATTTTTCTATCGGAATGTCATGCGGCTTTGCCTTTGACTTCTTTTTAGATTTTTTAGATTTTCCAACAGGACTCAAAAGAACAGGTGCCTTTTCTTCCTTCACAGTTGTCAAATCAGAAGTTTTCTCTGGAACCTTGGGCGAGATCGTCTGGTTTTTGTTTTTGGAAGTTACCTGCTTTGGGGAGTCATCTGTTGCAATCACAGGGAAAGTATCTGTTCGAATTTTAGAGCGCTTTGACTCCACAGAAGATTCAGGTGCATTCCCTTTCTTTTCCTCTGCTTTCACATCAGATGCTTCTGTATCGATTTGATGCCAATTTGTAGTGCAGTGATTTTTTGAGCGTTTTGATGAGCGAATAAGAGTCAAGTCGGATTTATTCAGCTGAATGTCTTCTTCGTCAGACCGATTCTTTCGCTTTTTGGTGGATTTTACTGGAGACGTACTCGCATAGGTATCCTTGTCATGATTGACGAACCGGAAGGCCCTGAAAGCAATGAAATAGTCTTTTATTTCATCTTAAAGGAGAGAAAATTCACATACTTTAGTCCTTCGGCTGATTTAAGTACTTTGATAGATTCCCTTGGGGGCAGAAAACATCCATCTGTGGTGAGCAAATTAAGGTCCTTCTGCAGGACGCAGTTTTTTTTTAGAACAAAATGAATACCAATTCATAAAGCACGTACCAAATTGAAAAGACTTTGAATGTGATCCTGTAGGTCCTTAATGTTTTGCCAATTTGAATCGATGAAAACCAACGACTGCCGGCGTTCGTCCTTAAAAAAATTGGAGAGATCCACTTTCATGCTTGAGTGGTGCATGCTTCGATTCGGCTTATAATTTAGATGTATTGAAAAAATTTGCGGACTAAGAAACCGCCTGCTATATTAGAGGTGGAATAAAATTCGATTTCGCTATCGTTGCATCGATGTTTTTTATTATTCAATTTTTTTAGGTTCAAATTCTTTTAATTTTAAACAGGCGAAATTATTATATCCTTTAAGCGATTTCAAAGAACACAAATAAATGAATTCGATTCCAAGGTATGGTAAAAACGTTGATAATTTTTTTTTAAACATTTTAAATTTAATTATAACCGGGAGAAATTTTAAAAAAAGTTGACTAATCTTAAATAACATAAATAAATTAAACCATGTCAGAAATAAGCATTTAAGCCCCCTTAGGCTATCGATAGCAAACTTGTATGCACGTCCGATAACGATTAGCCACTTCTTGTGTACTTACTTCCAACGAAAACAAATAGTTCTTATCAATTCAGTTTCGCATTAATCACGGCTCCGATTTAGATCAATGATGTGATACCGCCACGAGGGTTTTAATCCCACTCCAAAATGAGCCACGGCGACCAGAGTCACAGCCAGAGCAGCCAGCGGGGCCAAGAGCGCTGTGGCGGGGGCGACTCCACAAAGGACAGGGAGAAGGAGAAAAAGGGCTGGTTCCACTCGCTGACCAGGCGCAAGAAGTCGGACTCGGCGCTGACCGTGTCCGTATCCGCATCCGCCTCCACCAGTGCATCACAGAACAACAACAACGAGGTGTGTGTCCTTGAGCCAGCAGAGTCTTCCATGGCCAGCTGCAGCAATGGGGGCACTGGCACAGGAACACTGCGCAGGCGGCGGGACAAAGACAAGGACAAGCGAAACGTGTTCGCCAGACTGCGTCGGAAGGTGGGCCAGGGTCTCAGCTCCTTGCGCAATTGGCACTCGATGGGAGAATGTGACGATGGTGGCACTACTGATGCCACCTACGAGTTCCTTACTCCGGCCATCTGCCAGGAGCCCACGTTGCCATTCACACACGACTACTTGCGCTTCATTCGGAAGAAGTGGCTGGAGCGCGAGGGCGCCCACTCTCCCAACCAGGTCATGTACAAGGCCTGCTCCGAAATGCTCAAGTAAGCGCCGTCTTTCTCGAACGGTCAACGATCGGTGACTCATTCCCTTTGTTTTCAGCCAAGTGTGGTACTGGGGCGAAATCTCCAGGCGCGATTCACAGCGGCAGTTGAGCGACAAGCCGACTGGGTCGTTCCTGGTCCGCGACTCGGAGACCAGCGGATCCCAGTTCACCCTAAGCTTCCGGATTGTAAACGTAACACTGCACTATCGGCTGGAGTTTCGCGACGACTTCTGGCACTTCGAGGAGCTTAAGTACGGTTCGATTGTAGAGATGATCGAGGATATCTTGCACCGCTGCACCAACGACAACTTTGTTTGCTTTGTGAAGGTGCCCAACGAGATGCAGCCGCCGTTTCCGGTGATCCTCAAGTATCCGCTGAGCCGGTACGCCAATATGCCCAAGCTTCAGGACCTGTGCCGGCGGGTCCTGCAGCGCCAGATGTCGCGCGAGCAAGTGGCTAAGTTGCCGGTGCCCGCACAGATGCTGGAGTACTTGGCGATGGAACGGGAACTGGTCTTCCAGAGCTAGAAGCCCGCTGTCCGCCGCCGAGCACCCGCTGGTCAAAGCTTTAAAACGGAAGTAAACGCAAGCACGTACACCAAAGAGGTCCGGGCGAATCGAATCCCAGCCTGTAGTTACTCGTAATGATATGTGTTGGTTGGATTGGCAATATGTTTTTGATGCATTTCTACGCCCCAGTAATTAAGCGCACAGTCTCTTAACACACATGCACACCGGAATCCCAGTGCGCAGGTTTTTACTGTATTGTACTGCTAAGTACCACTAGTACTAGTATTTTGTCTAGGATAAATAACTATGTTATTGGCCATAATTAGTCTATTGGTTTGTTTTCCATGGGTCTTGGTCAAGTCTTTACTCTGCACGCGAGAGCGCGAGTCCTTAAATTTTTGTAAAAATTTAACTATTGCATATATGTATTAACGTTAGTCCTAAGTGAGATGTATTGTACTATTTACGTTGCTCGCATTTTTGTATTCCTAACTTGAACACTAACTTTTTGCTAATCTAGATTGCATGGAATTTAGGCAGCTTTACGGCAATCGAATCTGTTCAATGCCAATTACTCTTGTTGCAATATGTATGTATTTTATTTAAATCTATCTACGAATATTTTACAACTATAAAATATTAATAAACTCATTGAGCGATCCTGGAGTCAATGGAATTTGCAATAAAACAAGCATCACGTCTAAAATCCTATGTGTATTTACCCAAGGATGCATTTACAAAACAGCAGAAAATCATATAGTAAAATTAGTTTATATCGTAAAATTAAATACATTAGGAAAATGTTTTGAAGATTTGCGAACATTCCAGACAAGTGTTTATTTTTATTTTTTTTTCATGTTCCAAAATGATGACTTAATCGTCTAGTCCGACAACCATGTCGCCATCGTCGCATCCCTTACGCTCCTCCTCTTCGTCCTCGGCCTCCGCATGGTCATATATGCGATAGGCCTTGAATTGACCAACCTTCTGGCCATCCACGTAATAGAAACTGAGAAAGCAGCTGCGGCACAGGTAAGAGGGATCGTGCAGCTGTCGGCGGGACTGATCAACAATGAAGCTGTAGCTGCGAATGCCGCACATGTAGCAGGTCCTGCGATTATAGGTACTAAAGGCGTGAGGATAGGGATATAAACTGCGATCAGGGCGTTTACTGCGCGGCGTTAGCACCTCGATCTGTGAGATTACAAACAGGTGTTCGCAATTACCGTGATGCAGGTAGTGCAGCGGCGATCCCGGGATCACAGTAAGATCGATAAACCGTTTGCCCTCCATATCTTCCGCCTTGAGCGTTTCTCCTCGTACACCGTTCGCATGAGCCGCCCACTTCAACACAGTGTCCGAATAGTCGGGGTTGTTGGGATTGCGTTTGTCATTGTAGAAGGTGTCGTTGATAAAGAAATATCCCGGATTTGTGTCGATAGTGGGAAGCGGAGCATCTGGATCGTTGCTGATGTCCACGAAACGTTTGCCACGGCATACGCAGCTGATCTTGTCGCGCAGCTCGCTCAGATAGTTGCTGCCTAGGCAGACGTACTCCTCGGCAAACACGGGGATCTCAACCTTGAATCCTCTATGGTAGGCACGCGGTGGCCGGTAGAGACGCACGGTTAGCTCCAGCTCGCAGGCATCCAACTGGAGATCATGGCAGTCCGTCGGCGGCGGGTTCAATTTGTGAGAGTATTGGGTGCGTCCAAAGGCACATTTACGTGACTTGGTCTTGTAATGGATCAGTGCCGAATAGGTGGCCGGCACATGCTGGTCATCTTGGGGTCGGACGACAGTTGGACGAAATACATCAGCTCCCGGCTGGAAGTTTGGGACCGAGATGTCGTCTGGGGATTCGATCAAGTTCAGGGAACAGCTATCACCCACGTCTACGATTACGGGATTGGATTGCATGAAAAAGGGTACATTGTCCTCAGTGTTTAGTTTTTGCTGATAGTCGGCAAGGAAATCTTTCAGATTTAAAGCGCTAACTGTCGAATGGCTCTCCATGTTCCTAAAGAGGGTAATAGTGAATATAGGGGATACTTTGTAAATTGCATTAGGCTTACTTAATGCTCCTCTCCGAACTTGTTAATCGCTTCCTTATAGGTAATATTCAACTTTAATGACTCTGCCTTGGCCTCGGCTTGCTCTCCCTCCTCAGCTTTGACCGATTTCTCGGCCGCCAGGTGCAAATTGTCGACGTAGACTCGCTCGAAGGATATCACCTTAGTGGACTTATCCACGTACTGGTAGCGTTGACGACACACGGACTCGAAGAGCGGATCGCTGGCCAAGTTGTCCTTGTCCTTCTCGAAAAACACGTTGGTTCCCACTGAGTGTTCGTAGCGTCCCCGGTAGATATTGCCATTCACCTCCGCCATGGGCGTGTCACTCTCGATCCCGATGACCTTGATTGCCGCGTCCTCGTGCTTCAACTGGTGAGGCTGAATGTGGTTCTTAAAATCCGCAAATACCAGGTACTCGGTGTCCTCGTACTCCGAATCGGAAGAATTATTCATGTTCCCTTTTACTAGTGCTTCATCAGCGGTTGCTGTTGTTCAGATTTAACCATAACTCCGACATCCAGAAACTATAGAATGAAATTGCGAGGACAGTTGGTGAATATTCCGCAAATATTTTCAAATAAACGCAAAATATTGTACATGGATAGTTAACCAAATTGTAATGTCTGTTTACACTGCTGCCGCAACAGAAGCGATGCCAATCTTATTAAAAAACCAGTACCTATCGATATTTGGCGATATGTTAACTTCAGTGGACTCTTTAATTTTTTACGTAAAACTTAGTTCTTAGATCGAAAAACGAGTTCGCCAACGGAAAATCTTTAATTTTTCTAAGGTGGTAGCATTTTTGTGAGTTCATCAGATTGTTTTTTTTTAATTTCCTGATAATTTTTTGATTATTAAGCCTACTACCCAGATCGAAAAACGAGTTCGCTAGCGGAAAAACTTTAATGTGTGACTGCATTTTTGAGAATTCATCTGAATTAAGCGTGCTACGGCCGGACTGCCAATCAGCTGGGTTTGTTGACAAGCAGTTAAAACTCAAAAATCTTATTTGCGGGAAAGAGCCTTTAAAGGATATTCTCAACTATTTTGGCAAGACATGTCTGCCGCTATACAAAGAAATTAGAAAACATTGTAAATTAAAAATTATTTTTTTTTGTATTGCTGATAGTTATTTGGTAATTTAGAGATCATAGCTGCCCTAAGTTCTTGCAGTCGATTTTTCTGTGTTTTTGGTTTTTGATCTCCGAAAAACTTTGCTCTGACAACAGATTCCCCAAAAGATTAAAGTTTTAATCTTTTCGCTAGATCCTGACGAACGTTCATCCAGACTTTATTTCAGGTGGTTGGCAGCGCGATGTACTTTTTTGTTAATTTTTCGTCGATCTGAATACAGGGGTGAAAGAGAGCATGACGAAAAGCGTTTACCAGCTGTATGCCTCTCGCTATGAGCTATGAGAGAGCTGAAGAACAGATTTCGTCGATCTGAGTACTAGGGTTTTACGAAATATGTTCGTCAGCTGTTTGCCCTCGCTCTCTCTCATAGCTGACGAACGGATTTCGTTGATCTGGTGTAAAGAATTAAGGTGGTCCTCGAAAATCGAACATGCCGAGATATCGTAATATAGTCCTTCACGGCTTGGTTCGTAGCATAAACAGATGTTTTCGCAACAGCAGCGGCAGTCTGATCGCTCGGAATCAAACTTTTGTTTTTCAATTTTAAGCAGTGTGAAGAGGCTATGCTACAAAAATACAAAAAGGTATCGATATGATTCTCCACTCCAAAAACATATCGGGGCGAAAACTGTACCGCACTGCCATCTCTAGAAACGAGGCGAATACAAATCTGTTTTCGGTGGCAAAATTTACGTGCGTTCTCGTATTTCTGTAAATATTAGTCGATAATAAACACTAAAATTAAGTGCTAGGGTGGTCTAACGCGCAAGAAAACCAATTAGACTGCGACATAGTTGACTTTGCACCTAGAAACATCAACTTTAAATACGTGTGTTTTCACGACACCGCGGCCATTTTGGGCGAACTCAACGTCAGCAGAGCGAGCACCCTTTTTGTACATACTTTCAACGTAAGAACAGTGGTTAAAAGTGGAATGCGGGAGGGAAAAGCGTATTAAAACCATGTGTTAATGCTTTTCACGACCTAAAACAATTAATTTGAGTGCCATAAACTTCCCCTGCAATTGCATTCTGACTCCCTTCGTGCTCACTTTCGCTGCCTTTTTCATTGACAGTTAGTTACTATACTACGACAACTGCCGTTTTTCGGACCACGCCGTAAGCTTTTGCTCCACCAAGAACCCGAGCTTTTACAGCCAACGCAAACGTAAACAAAAATATAACAATGGCCGATGAGGATATCACACTGAACGAGGATCAGCTCCTGGAGTCGTTGGACGAGACGAATGGCGAGCAGGAGACTGAGATCAAAACAGAGACCGAGGTGAGTTGGGTTTGAGATAAGATGGTCAAAAACCAGTTTCTTGGCCCGCCCTGCTAAAGCCCGCCGAATTCCCTGGAAAAGCTCTCCAAGCTTTTGGGGGATATACAAAGGCGAAAGTCACCGCAATGGCTGCCATTTTCAAAGCGTCGCTTCGCATTGTCTGCCGTGTTTTTTGGGCGTTCACTAATTGCTCCAAATCCTATTCAATCCCATCTTTTCCGGGTCGCTAGGACGAGGGCAGTATGCAAATCGATCCCGAACTGGAGGCCATCAAGGCGCGCGTCAAGGAGATGGAGGAGGAGGCCGAAAAGATTAAGCAGATGCAGTCGGAAGTGGACAAACAAATGGCCGGCGGCTCCACCCCCGGCTTGGCGACCGTGCCGCTTTCTCTTGAGGAGAAGCAGGAGATTGACACGCGGTCCGTCTACGTCGGCAACGTGGACTACGGCGCCTCGGCCGAGGAACTCGAAGCCCACTTCCATGGTTGTGGCACCATCAACCGCGTCACCATACTCTGCAACAAGGCTGATGGACATCCCAAGGGATTCGCGTACATCGAGTTCGGATCGAAAGAGTTCGTCGAGACGGCACTGGCCATGAACGAAACCCTCTTCCGAGGGCGACAAATCAAGGTAGATACCCGGTACTTATACCCGCTACTCATAGGGTAAAAAGGACAAAGGCAAGGAGTTACGATTTTTGTGTTCGTTTTTATACCCTTGTAGAGGGTATTATATTTTGGTAAAAAGTGTGCAACGCAGTGAAGGAACCCTAAAAAGTATATATATTCTTCGGATCGCGTCCTGAGTTGATATAAGCATGTCCGTCTGTCTGTTTCTACGCGAACTAGTCTCTCAGTCTTAAAGATATCGAATTGAAACTTTGCACACACACTTCGTTCTTTTGCACGCAGTATATAAGTCCGAACGGCCGGGATCGGCCGACTATATCCTATAGCTGCCATTTAAGTGAACGATTGGAAATGCCATAACTTACAGAATATTCTTCGGCTCCGCCCGAAGTTAGCTTTCCTTTCTTGTTTTTTCTCAGGAATATTAATTTGGTTGAAATGTACTATTCTTATATAAAGTTTTGGTGACCAAATTGCTTTTCTTAATCATAACAACTTTTCCAAACTTACTGTGACAGCTAAAGAAGGCCGGTATTTTGGATTGATTTTGGATTCATATATCCATAAGATTCGCCGTGCAAACCACTTACACAAATGAATGGCGAACTTGTCATACATAGTGTGTGTGCCTTATATGTTTGCTTTTTTTTTTAATTTACGCTTCAAGGTAGTCTATATTTTGTATTGCCGTGAGTAGCGGACAATTTTTATATTATATCTTTAAGATTACACTCTAACCCTTTTTCCTTGCCCTGCAGGTGATGTCGAAGCGCACAAACCGCCCTGGCCTCTCCACCACGAACCGATTTGCTCGCGGCAGCTTCCGGGGTCGGGGAGCCCGCGTCTCTCGAGCGTGCTGTCACTCAACCTTCCGTGGCGCCCGACGCGCTATGTAAGTGGGCTCCGGCGAATACCGTTTGGATCCAGCTAATCCCGGTCTGTCTTTCGTTTCAGAAGGGGTTACCGCGGTCGCGCCAATTACTACGCTCCATACTGATTATTGTTTTATTAAAACCCTAGTAAGGTAAGCCCTCAATACTGAACTCATCTAAAAACCAAACGAACGAGACTGCTTGTTATCTACCTTAATGTCCTTGGCCGGTAATTGTTTTTAGGGATTTTATTTGTTAGGCTGTGTCCGTTTTATGGAAGCAATCATAATGCTACTTTACAAAATGTAAAATATAACAATTATTGTATTACTTTTGTATACATTTCTTAGAACTAACTGAAGTTAAATATAATAAATACAGATAATAAATATTTAAAATAGTATAAAATATATTGGTCTGAACCATAGAAATTAAAGACTTATAGATAAATAAATAGTCATTAAAAATAGGACAAACTATATTGTTCCATTTTATATACGCTACCTTAAAAAGCCTCAAATCGACATTTGAAAAGTACGTAGTAAATGCAATCAATCCTTAATGAATTGGAACAATTCTATCCACTACGTATTATTGAGAATTAATATTCGTATAGCACAAGTACAGGCGGATAATTGGGGGCGTCAAAAATGTATAATGTTAGCACCTATATCCTTTATGTGAATGCCTTGTCTTTCATCCTCATTGAGTTGGGACGAATAATAATGCCTTCGTTTAAATTACCGACACTCTTCTTTAATCCAATAACTATTTGATTTCAGATTTTTTTACAATATTATTTCAAAAAACATTATTTTATTGCCAAACTTCTTTGCTAAATAAAAACAAAAAAGAGAAAACAATCACAAGAGAAAACGCCAGAAAAAAAATCGTTTCAATAAAAAAAGCATCTCCAGCAAGAAAACAAGGCGAAAAAGAAGAGACTTCGAAAATAATAAAAAATCAACATGGAAAAACGAATATCTTGACTTGGCTATAATGTTTTTTGAAGCACCCAACACCAAACACCCCTTTTTCACACATTTTATTTTCAAATAAAAAATCAAAAAAAGATTATGAAAAACAAGAAGTTGATTTAGAAAAACAAAAAAATATATATCAATAAATATATATAAAAGAAACGCAAAAGAAAACCACAAACCATTATAAAAGAAGTTAAAAGATGGCAAAAATCAAGTAAAAGAAGGAAGAAAATAATAAAAAAAATCAAAAGAACACAAGACTCTTGGGAAAGAAGTAAATCAACAAAATAGAAAAAAAAAGAAAGTGCGTCATTTATATATTCAAAAAATATATAGAGTAAAGAAAAGAAGTTGAATTTTACTGAACTGAAAAAGATGACAAATATAATCGAATTAAACAAGCGTTCAATGCCTTTCCTTTGGGCGGGACAAGGTTTTTGGGAATCAGGATATGATATCAAGCTGCTCCAACCGATCCAGCCTCGCTTCCAGTCCTGCTAATCAATAACTAAGCTTGTGTGGCAGCGAAATAAATAGAACACTCTTTCTTCAAGCACTATTATATGGTTTTTATTTCAATTGTAGGATTGCAGAGCCTGAGCGGATTTCGACTCGAAAATCCCGCCTTGTTCGATGGCGGTTTGTTCTAGCGCTTATAGAATTGACGTGAAACTGCGCCGCGCCTTTCCTAGTTCTTCTGGACGGCGGCCTGCACAAGGGGCAGGTTTTTGCCCAGGAAGCACTTGAATCCACGGTATGCCCAGGTGTTGGCGGGCGACTTCTGGTCGTTCTTATCGGCGCACTTCTCGATGTCAGCCTTCAGCGCGGCCTTATCCTCCTTGCCCTGGCCCAGTTGCGCCACCAGGTTGTCCACCTTGAAGCCCTTGGTCTCATCGAACAGGTCGAATTTGACGAAGATGCACTGGATGTAGTTGCGGGTGATTTCATCGTCGGGGTAGTCGAAGGTCTTGTACTTGGCGATCAGGGCTTCGGTCACCTTGCTGGTGGCGCCGCACTCCTTGCGCACGTTCTGCAGATCCTCGGCGGTGCGGAGCTTGTACTCGGCGGCGGAGGTCTGAAATGGATCAGGCGGATTACGGGCTGCCATGAGCTCCTGTTTACTTAATACTCACCAGACCCAGCAAGGCGCACAGCAAAATGGCAACAGTGTTCTTCATACTGAAATGGGTTTCTTTTTTGCTTTATGAGAGAATTGAAATCGGACTGATTGCTTGCTCTGTGATCACCCGGAGGAAACTGTTGGCTGTGGACTGGGCTGCTCCCACTTTTATACCTTCGAGCACGGCTCAATGTGGGGTATGTAGCACTCAATTGTGGGGCGGACTTGAGTGCTGCTCAATTGAGTTGCACTCACTGGCTGTAATTTAAATCTTATTATGGAATTTTTTTATAAGCTCGAGGTTGCCTAAAGGATGAGTTTATTCAGTAATAGATTGAAGCTCTTTATTTTAAATTGAAAGGTTCGAAAATCCTATAACATCAGATAAATTAGTTAACAAAGCTAGCTAACTTGATCATGAATCAAAGAATAATTTTATGTTGCCTCTTTACTTCTTAGTAAGATGTTTGAATTATTAATATTAAATAGCAAAAAAAGTTCATGTCATGGACCCATTTAAATCCCATATAAATGTTAGTTTTGATTCCTTCTGGGAGAAATCAAAATTAGAAAGATGCAAATTTAGTCAGTGGTGTACAAGAAAATTATATGCACTTGTCTCGAATAGCACTTTTTAAGCGGTAGATCAGCTGATTTTGATTTCAGTTGTGTCATTATCAACAACAGTTAAATCTGTTTAAATTTCCATTGTTTGTATGGAGCGACCGCGAACAAAACCTAACATAAATGCGATTCGCATGGGCAGGGGTCTACGGCGACGGGGTCTATGTAGATCATGTGTTTTCACAGAATACTGTTTCTGAATTCATTAATTTATGGAGATCAAAGAAATATGTATTAATTTTCTTAATTTCTTATTACTGATAGATTTAATAAGTAATATTAAGTGGAACAATCAATCCTAGCAACTGTACAAGATCAACAATTGTTTCAAGAATATTGTCCTCTGATTTTGAACAGTTTTTATACCCTTGCAGAGGGTATTAAAATTTCAGTGAAAAGTTTGCAACGCAATGAAGGAGACATTTCCGACTTTATAAAGTATATATATTCTTGATCAGCATCACCAGGAGAGTCGATCTAGCTATGTCCGTCTTTTGACTGAAATTATATTACCCTCTGCAAGGGTATAAAAATCGTATTGACATATATTTTGTAAGGTTAGTTTTCTTTCATATTTAATGTTTAGCCATAAAATATATGAACAAACAAGAGTATTAATTGTACATATTATAATAATTTGTCAACAAAATCTATTATAGTTACTCTGGTCGGTTAACAAAATAAATACATTATACTATTAAGCTTTTCAAGTACCGACTTAATATCGAAATAAAGAGAAAAATTGGAATTAAAAACAAAAAACTTTTTAGTTATTACTTCTCTGAAATCTCGATTTACGAATCCCCTATTTTGGGAGAGTTTGCACCCCTAGGAATTGTGAACCTGCCACTGAGTTTGCATGACCGACCATTTGTGGTCACTTAAACTGCCCACTTGGTTGTCTGTGGGCTTTTGTGTATGCTGGTTGGTCTGCTCTGCATTAAATGAGCATTAATTGAATTGGCAAAATTACGTTGACAAATGAAATTCGCCCCTCGCCAACGCACTCTCCAACGTTGGATGTCATAGACGTTCCCCCAGCCTGCCGATTTTTGCACCCATATACTAAAATTTTCCATTGCAACATGAGTGCCCCATGGGAATTGACTGCCCAAGTCCACTCATATGTGCATATATTATATATCAACAGCCAGACAGGTGGTTTTCCATTCGTAAGCAGAGACTGGTTAGATTCGACTTTCTTTGAACTTGAAGCATTTATTTGTATTGGAACACTATAAGTTAAGTATACATAGGTCTAAAGCACAGTTTTCATAAAAACTCCAGAAAAAACCTCATCACAATAAACTAAATTTAATTGATCACATACGAAAAAATAATGAAATCATAAATCACAACTCCCATACGCCGTTTGGAATATGCATCTTCTAAGAACCTGCAGGAGTCTCAAAGGAACTTACTATAGTAATAATAATAACTCAATTTTGATTACAACTTAAGTCCACTCATTTAACAAGAAACGATCGAAAGGTAAATGATAATTAAACCAAGGCAATCGTGAATCCTGGCTAAGCTTATGCATAGTTATAGATATTACATATTTGGTAAGCACATCTAGAGGTTTTGAAGCTAAGCAAACCAATTTAAAAGCGCTATCTGCTATATAGAGTGTGTTGCATATCCGTATAAATATGGTTATAGTACGCAGTTCGGGTGCTAAGGAACCAGTTCACTTCTCGGGAATAGGTCGCAGGGTGGCCAAGTCCAGCTTGCTGCTCGGCGGCACCAGTGCCGTCTCAAGTTCGGGGATCTCCAGGTCGGGGATGGGGTCGCGCCAGTAGTTGAAGTTGGAGAACTCGGCGGAGGCTTCGTCGTGTTTCACCGGCGGGAACAGTTGATCCACTATGTACGTCATGCTGCAGTACCTGGAAACAAAAAGCAAGCTTAATGAGATTATGTATAACATTAGGAGCCATAGCCCATGGTTATGCTACGATCTTCGCCAATCGACAGCAGCCCGAGCTTATGCAATTAAATTTCTTGTAATTCCAGAATCGGGAAAAAACGCCCTGGGATATACTGCGTTTTTTTAATAAAGATAAAATCTCAAAACACGATCTCTAGAAAACTAATACTTACGGGTACTTAATCTATGAATGTTCGGATTTTAAGAGATCATCTACATATATATAAATATATATAATCTAACTACATTTTACTATTGGATCTAGCTCAGAACTCATGCCACATTCAGCGATCGAAGTCGGAAATAAAAGATTACCATCACAGTGAAAATAAAGGTATATTTTGTTGGGTAAGTAATATAATTGTCATCCTTAAAACTAGACATAAAGACCTGCTGGGAGCAGAATACTTTCGAAACTTAACTGGTTGGCGAACTTGAAGCTCGCTGACCTGGCACATCAGGCACAGACATATATAGGACACTCCTAACTCTCTTAGAAAACTTATCACAATTTGTAAGCTGCACAACCTTCGGTTTGGGATAGGACTGTAGCTATATCTAGGAATTCAACCACTTGGGGGGCGAGGCCAAAATGACCTCGTTTTTGGTGGAGACACGGCGGACTCGCATTATTAGACCCACATCGGCCGACTGTTCGTCGCCGGAGGCCACGTCCGCCTGGATGCCATCATCATCGTTGGCAAAATCATCGTTATAGAGGGCTTCGTCATCGTCCTCATCTTCGCAACTGTGCTCCGCTTCCACGTCGTAATCGTCGCTGAACTGCAGCTCATCCTCCGACTCTTCGTCGTCGAAGACGTCCGTCCGGTAATCGAAATCATCTTGGTTGGTTAGCAGCGGAAAATATTCGTCGACTTCAAGCGACTGATTGATGTAGCCACTGTGTAAATTTGACAACCAAAATGCTTGAATTGGATTTGGCAGGCTTTTCGATCGATTGATTGATTGAGTGGGGTGCGTTTAGGGGGTAGTACAATGAATAGATACTACACAGATAGGAAGTACACTAAAACAGCTTAGAGACACCTAGCGTTACGTAATGAAGTTAATTCGACTTGAGCCAATTAGCGTTTGTTTGAATTGATTGCTTTGGTTTGGTTTTGTTTTGCGAATTGGTTAACGTTATCGGATGTGGCATGAGTTCAGTAATGAGCAACACCGGAACCATATAGTACATGGGAGACACATGTGCAGTTAGAGCAAACACTAGGCTAGGGGATCAACGGATCGGTACTTACGAGGACTGGAATGTTTGGGTCAGCTCGTGCTTCAGCTCGCCCTTGGTGTTGATGGTGAAGATGCGCATGATGGGAATGCCCACTGCTCGGTATGCCCACACGTCCTAGAAATTACAAAGGGTGGATTAAATAACATATTTCAGACAGTTTGGTACATAGTAGAGGCATATTCAAAAATATAATTTACATTCCAAGTTTCTATTAATTTATCAGGGCTAATGCATCTAATAATCTGATGATTCTTCAGGCAGACTTACATTGATGCGATTGCCGTAGCCGGCGTAGAACGGCTCCTTATCGGGAAAGAGATCTCGGATGTCCGACAGACAGGCGATCTTGAACTGCTCCGGCTTCTTCTCGATCACTTCGCGGTGGAAGGCCGAGATCAGGGACGTGGGATTCAGCAGCAGAGGGCCGTCCGGTAGCATCACGTTGCCCTGCCGGATCGACCGGAGATACTCGCGTGTCACCCTGCTTTGTCCAATGGCTCGGGCCGACAGATAGAGCAGCTTGTATCCGTTCTGCTCAATCTTCGAAAAGAGCTGCGCCACCCCCAGTTGCGCCCAATCCTTTCCTACCATGGGCAAGATGTGGCCCAGCACGTCCGACTTGGTGATGGTGCCGTCAATGTCCGATATCACCACCTTGTCGTTGTGCTTCCAACGGAACAAGTAGCACTTGCAGCGCGTCGTTCCCTGATAGGCGGTGGTCACGCTGAACTCGATCTCGTTCATACCCTCCTTAAGGTTAAGTTTTTTCTGAAGAAGGCAAAAGAATCATTGAAGATTTGGTTGATAGCATGAAAGAATTTCAGGACTTACAATGGCCGCCGAACTGAGACGCAGCGACTTTTTGTAGCGCTCTTTGGGCTCATCGCTCTTGTTAGAGGCCATGGTCAGCTCCTCCAGGTTGTCCACCAGGGCCGAGGTGTTTTCCGCATTCACCAAAGAGTCGCTCTTGCTGAGCGTGGGATCACTGATGTCGGGAGAAGTGGGCCGTGAGGTTTGGGTGGCCACCGCTGCCTGATCGCCATCTGGAGGAGATTGAACTATTAGATTGGCTGTCCCTTAACTACAATTAATCAATCAAATTTACCCTTTTCATCTTTGCCCAATGGCAATCCATGAGCGTTGTTCACATGGTTGGGCACAGCGTCCTGCGAGCGCCGCCAGCTCCACCAGTAGCGCTTGGTCTGACCCACATTGTCCGCTTGGGCGGCCGCCTCCTGCTTTTCGTCTCCAGACAGGCACTTGCCCTCCACCGACTGCGACATTAGCTGCTCAATGGCATCCTGGTCGAAGGGAATATCAAATATCCTTTAGTTAAAGCGCGAAGATAACAAGGCGGGCTACACAAAAGGCTTGGCTTTGGGCCAACTTACATGGGTTAGTGGCTTCTGGAAGGTGATCATTGTCATGACAATGGGACATGCAGCCATCCAGGTGTAGTATTTGCCATTCAGCCGTACGACTAGGTTAGGCGATGAGAAAATGCTGGGGCTTTTGCACACCTGCGCACAGGTACGAATGAGGGCGTGGCATGAGAAGAGACTGGTTAACAAGGCGGGATGCAGTGCGTGGGGGGCGCAGTGAAGTGCATGGAACTTAAACACATACACAGAACATAGCACTGAGCCATTCGCAGGATACTTACGTCTGGATAGTTAACCAGGTGGCGGTCGAACTCCTCGTCCGAGGGCGCTGCTCCCTGCTCTGACATTCCGCACATTGACATGGCCACAAAGTCCAAATACCTGAAAGGCCGATAAAGTTACTGTATCGAATTAGGATCCACGTTTGAGGGTAACTCACTTGTTGTCCCTCTGCTGTTTGGTTTCGTCAAAGTCCGAGTCAATACTCTTCTGACCCTCCTCCAGCGAGCTGGGCGAGTGGGGCAGGCTGGTTCCATTGCCACTCTCACCATCTTCCTCGGGCGGCGAGGAAGTCTCCTTGGACCTGGGCGTGGGGAAGTAGAGGGCCGCCATCTCGGGATCCATGCTGCCGGCTTCCAGGTCGGAAAGGTAGATGTCCCCCACCTCACCAACGCCCTTCTCCTTGCGCAGTCGATTGGCTCGCTTCATAAAGCTGAACATGTTGCTGAGCATCGATTGGTGTTCGCTCTGCTGCACCTGGGCGGCGCTCATGGCCTCGTTTTTGGCCTGCTCCGGCGTTGGCAGCTCGCCCCACTTCCAAGAGGCGGCGTTCTCGTCATTAATTACATGCCGCTTGTCCCGCATTGTAGTCTCCAGCTCACTGTCGCTCTGGATGGGCGTAGAAGGTCGTCCGCCGGCAGATCGACCTGATAAGCCGACACCACCACCCACAGGAGTGGCGATCTCCGTATCGCTGAAGAAGTGGATGTCCAAATCCAGACGTGGATTCGTTGTGGGAGTCAGGGGCATCTCGCTCAGTGGGCTATCGTTGCCAGAGCGTGCGGTGACCAGAGGGGCCGACGGTTGCTCATCATTTGACGAGGAGTTATTGTTGTTGTTGGTGGCACTGGAAATAGGGGCATCGCCCTCATCGATGTTGGTCACCCCCAAGGATGCCGTGTCCGCCGAAGCTAAGTCCCCGCCACCAGCACTGCCCAAAGAGCTGCTAGAGGAAGTCTTGCGCTGGGCATTTTTCTTCATCTGCGACTTCTTGCGTCGCTTCTTGGTCTTGCTCTTGGACACCTCCCTGGTGGCTTCGCTGGTCGTGACCGGGGTGAGGCTAAAATCTGGCTTGGGCTGCTCCTTCTCTTTGTCGTCCACCTTCTGGACATCATTCTTTGTCTCAGCTTCGTTAGAAGCTTTGCTTTGGTTATCCAGCTCCGACTCCATCGACTTCTTTTCGCCCTGAAACAGCTCCTCATGCTCGGCCCACTCCTGGCGAATCTTCTGGGTGGTGAACTCCTTGAGCTTGTCGCTAAGATTGCGACGCTCCAGCGTGTTGTCTGTGTGCCTATTTGGGTTACGGGTGCAATTACTAAGACATGTTCCAGATGAGATGGGTATGAATAGGCATTGTGTACCTGCGCTGCGTGTAATCCGAGACCTGGTTCTCGAACTTGCCGCCCTCGACGGCCGCTTCCTTGGGCTCCTCCTTGGATAAGTCAATGGAGTTGCGTCGCGGCAATGGCAGGGGCAGGAGCAACTCCTCGCTAGCGTTTCTAAAATGGTTTAGCAAATGAGAGGATGAGTCTGGGCTGTTGGAGAATTAAGCAAATCTCACTTACTTGTCGGCCACTACTCCACTGATATCCTCCATGGTGTCATTGGCCTTGTCCCGCGACTGCAGGAAGCTGTTAGGGATGGGCGAGGTGGCCAGGTTAGCCGGCAGCTCCTCGTCCTCATCCTCTAGGCACTCCTCCACGAAGAAGGCCTCGCCGGAGTCGCCCAGCTTCATCTGTATGTCCACGGGGGCGCCATTTATCTCAATGTCCACCTTAATAATCGAAAAAAACAAAAAAATTGACTGTAAATAAGGAACTCCAATTTTACAGCTCTGTACATTTTCATCAAGAATTCTAAATGTTTAAACAATATTAAAATGGTGACATCGACACCCACAACATTGTATTGCATATGTAACAGAATAACTTGTTTAGTTATGATCATAAAAACGATGAGCCCTCTGGGCAATACCCCTTTTACAAGGGGTGTACACTTGACGTTAAATATCACAGACAGTTCCAAAGTCTTAACCATGAGTTACCATATCCAAAGTGCCTATATCATTAATTTTACATAAAGCATATACAAATTTATTTAATTATAGATACGGATGAGATCATCTAGTTTTTACTTAATCTTCAATCAAAAACCTCTTCATGCCTGATAAATATACTTAAATGAATTAATATTCAGTTAATGATGTAAATGATTTAATATCTTCTTGTTTATATCCTATATTATAAGCTTTTTCTTTGGGACTAATGTCTTCACTTACCACTTTCTCCCGACTCCTTAGCACTCCCAGTTTGCCGAAGCGAACGTGAAAGGGCGAGCACTGGAACTCGCCGTCCCGCTGCTCCACCACGATCACATCGATGGCTCCCGTGAGGGTGGCCGCGTTTATGTCATTGTAGAAGTCGCGGAAGTTGCTAAAGACGCGCGCTAGGCTGTTCATCTTCGATCTGCTTTGGTCGTTGGCCTTCTCGGAAAATGGGTTTCCTTACTGCTGGGGGTTTCTCTTCTTGATCTCCCCGAAATATGCTTGTCTAAACTCAAAGCTCCGACTCTGTGTGGTTTCGTCCGCCGCGTGTGCTTATATGGCAGCCATGTTTATTGGCAGGCGGTCAATTGCGCCGCTTATTGACGAAGGAATCGACTCTGTGACTTTGGACCCGCCTCTGAGATACGGCAGCTGTAAAGGGCAAAGCGGAAACGGTCATGAGTAATTTGTATAGGCCATAAACCATTTTTTTCACGTTTATTTCGGCTTGGCAACGGCAAGCGTCCGCAGAAAATAGATAAATTGCATCAGAAGAGTGGGCATCCTGTGCTCGGAAGCCCCAACAATGCACCTGAATTGTATTTTTAACCTTTTCGTCTCTCTCTCACTTTGGGTGCTCAAAGTCAAGGTGAGTTGCTAAAGACCAGAGACAAAGCCGACAAGCAATGTGTTGCTGACGGCAGGCAACATCCCCGGAGCAACACCAATGTCACCGCGGCAACACGGTACATTTGCGCTGAAATGTTGCCAAACGGCGGACGTGACGTCGAAAATACAAGCGCAAAATGAAAATTATAAACAAAGCAGCTAGAAGCTACCTACATATGTATAATATATTCCACACTTGGGGTCCACTTCATAGCAACCAACTAAACAAAAAATGTAATACCAAGTGTAAATATATACATTGGTATAAATTTGATTGGTAAAGCGATAATCATTGGTTACAAAGAAATTACCAAAACAAATCTTTTCATTAAATTTAAATACCTAATTTTGAAAATGATTTTTTTATGCAAAAATATTTGTTTTCCGACAACAAAGCTTTGATATTTCTGGCCAGTGTTGTAAATGTGCGAATATAACATTAATGTAATTCATTTAATTTTTCCCTGAACGCGGTTAAGTTTATTTACCACAAGTTCAAGGCAAGATTAAATGTAGAAAGGTGGGTAAAAAAAATCATTCGAGCTGTCGGCCCCGATGAAGGCACTTTTTACTGCTTATCTGGGATAAAAACTATTTACGAGTGTCACCGATGAATTGGGGCGATAAGCCCAGTCGAACGCTGCTTATCAGCAACGGTAACCGATGCCAGTGGCGTGTTCTACTGTACGCGAATGATAAAACACAGAATAAATAGCCCCACAAAATACAAACACATTCGCGTACATCAAGTATGAATTAATCATGGGCACCGAAAGACATCACGCGATATCGAGTGGAACGCAGGCTTTACAACTTAAAATACATACAATACAAGTTCGTTAATAACTAGCCATAGAGTTCAATGTCCAACATTGCACAATAATTAAGCGAATTTAACAAACAATAATTGCTAGATTTGGCTTTTGGTAGTCGTACCAACGGTCGTTGATATCGCACTTCACACGGCCCACAATCTGATGAGATTATTTTATTTACCTTGGCTGGGAATTCGAAAGAATTTCATAGATAAGCATGAATTGATCTGCATAGGCCAAAAACAGATTCTTTGTTTCATTATTCGTTGACTATATCTACTCGCGTACATTTAACTACTGAAAGATACATGGATTTTTTTTAAAGTCTCCAAATGCTTATGCACTTCTTATAAAAAGTTTCGCTTAGTGAAAACTCTTTCTGGTTTGATATTGGTTTTACAACGATCAATCTTTCCTGTTTTGCAAAGAAATTTAAACCAAATCGTCTTCATCTAGAACATCTAATTAAACTTTTATTCAATGCTTATTCTATATTTTTTGTCTTATCATTGAAAATCTGTTGAAAAAAAATAATAAAGATTAAGATAATAAAATAATAAATAATAAAAAGTTTTATATGGAAAACAAGATTTTTTTATCAGTTACTTCCTATCTTGTTTGACTTTCTTAGTGCTGCTATGTTCAAATACTATTGTTGATATGGTATTGATTTATATTTTTTTAACACATTCAATGATGGATCTTGTTTTCGTGATTTGAAAGGTTTAAGATGATTGCCACCAAAAGGAACTCTGTATTTCGATAGGAAACCAAACTATATTTTCTAATTATATTTTTTGGAACTAGAACTTATCTTTATAATAATAAGCGCACAGAGATTTTTTCATTGACCCATCTATATGATCTTTTGACATACATATATACATATATATACACATTTGTACATCTCGCTCCGTGTACAAAAGAAGGGGATCTAATCGGGAGTCCTACAATTGCACGCAATCGAACGGTAGACATCACGCCATCTGTCACGCGTTGCGGCCCGCTTCACTTTCACCTGCGAAGCTGGGGAGCCAAGCAAAGCGTGAATCGAGGAGCAGAAGCGAGTAGCAAAACAACATTCGATGAAACACATGGAAATCAGCCGATGGTAACAAGAGTAACAGCGGTAAGTAAAGGCAGTAAGTAACAACGAAATCCCAGAATGAGGCCAACTTCGGGAGAAGCTATGTATATACATATGTATATATCCAAACAAAGACACAAAGGAGAACTCGGGTTTCCACACACACAATACTCCCTGACTCGAAAGATAACGCTCCTTATACAACCAAGATATTTATATTTCTTAAGATTTCAAACAAAAGTTTAATGCTTGTGCTATATGTATATTAATAGGCAAAAGAACCACAGAGATTCTAATAATTTGATAATTATATCGGAATGTTTTAGCTATCTTACTAACTTAAAATGAACCTTGATTTTGGTCTATTCACACAATGTATCACGCAAACTTTGTTCGCACACTAAATCGAATATTAAATCGAATCAGATTGGTTCAATTTCGCGACGAGTTTAGTTATTATATGCATTTTAATAGGTCTGGGTCTGCGACTGTTTGCTGCTTGTGTTGAGTCACGATCAAAGTCCAGGGAATCGGGGAATGCGAGCGAATAAAAGAGGCGAACGGACAAACAAACAAACACGGGCACAAAGTCTAACCAAAAATCTTGCCAAGAAATTCGTCTGCAGGCGTACGTTCTCAACCGATCTCTAGTATAATGGAAATTTTCAATATAATTCGTTGGTTTTCGGTATGTAATTCACTACCTCTGGCACTTAATTCGCAGCAACAGCTGTATAAAATCGATGCCCTTGAAAACACTAGCGAAACTATGGCGAATCACTCTGCTTTCCGTGTTATTTTCAGTGTTTTTTCACAATATTATTAAAGAGTTCTTGTGTGTTTCTTGGGTCTTTTAGATGCTTCACTCCTCGAATTCTTCCGTTCACTTGTTGCTCCGTCGAGTGCTGTTTAAAGACTGAGCTTTGGAGCAGAGCGGCTAATCGAATTAGGCAGGTGCCCGAGAGAGTGAGAGAGCGCCAAGTGAGAGCAAAAGCTTTGCAACAAACCTGTAAAACCGGAAAGTCATGTAACTTTAGTTGCCATGGCATATCTATGTACAAACAGCGTAGTTCAAAATAATAGCAACGATATTAATGATAGTTCCAGAAACAAGTTAGGAACAAAGTAAGCGAAATAGCCACATACATGTTATCAGCATTTGTTCTTTCTGCAATAAACTCAACCGAATCTGAAAGTATCCGAAGAATGATTATGGAAATTATGGAATTACTGCTATTTTATTGATCGCAACTGTGTATATGAGTTTTGCACGCCATTCACACTCTCCCTCTCTTTTGGCTAGACTTAATAACTGTGCTTATCAGCTGCTCGCACGCCAAACAGCAGCTGTTTATGTGCAATCGAAAGCTCTACACTCGTACATACATGCATTAAATAAGGCAATGGTGTATGTATGTATGATGATCTGATCCGAGACCGGGACCCCAAGAAAAGCGTCATTGTGGGATGGTGCGATCTCTACGTCACTGGAACTGTTTTTAGGGTATCTTGATGATGTTTTCGATACAGGAAATGTCTTTTAGAGCATACTAATGAGTCCTCAAATGATCCATGGTCAAAATATGCTCGACTGCGGTATAAGCAAATGGTGGGAAAATAATAAAAGCGCTAAAAGAAAAACAGGCAAATAATTCGTCACAGTTGGGGACTGTGGAATATTTTTCGAATGCCATACGAAATGCCAATGGTTGCCAACAAAAGATAACGACGCCTACGAAAGAATAATAGTTCGTATTTATGAATCAAATTGAGAAGCAAACAAATAAACAACACTTACCAAATCAAATAATAATAGCCAAAATTAAAATAAATAAACAAAATCATTTATGATTTAAATAATTTAAATGTATTTGTATTGTTTAAACGATAAAACTAAGAAAATATAGGTATACGTATGTACATCGAACAAATTGTACCAAAAGTATATAGCATGGATGCCTCATCATTTCCTCCCGTCCATCTGAGCGAATATATATATATATATAATAAATAGGTTACCGTGAAGAATACAAATAACTAAATAATTGGCAAAGGCAGACGACATATGTTTGTATATGGGGTTGTAGCATGATATGTGATATAACTAGGCTCTAAAACAAAACATATTCAGATAGATTGTAGATAATAGCAATTACTAAGAACAACTCCTCATTTCAATGGTTTTATTGGACCACAATAAGCAGGCAAACTCGGTGTGGAAGCCCAATTACTTGGGACTGGTCGTGGACTTGCGTCGGGCATCCGTTATGGCACCCCAAAGCTCGATGATGAAGTCATCCGTGAAGCCGAACGACTCAAGGTCCGAGTTGTCGATGGCTTCGGCGAAGTCCATAGAGTTGGACTTCTGGTCGCCCAAATCCCAGATCTGGGACGCCAGCTCCGTGTCGTTGATGCCCATGAAGGACTCCAGCAGGTTGTTGATGGCCTCGATTCCGGCCACCGTCGCCTCATCGAACTGCGGCTCGATCTGGGCATTGCCGTTGGCCTTGAACCGCAGCGTCTCCTTGCCGCTGCCGTAGTTCCGTCCTCCGGCCGATCCGCTTCCCGACGCCCTCGACTGGCTGCGCGGTCCGATGCCCTGGAAGCCGCTCCTCACCGGCTCAACCAGGCGCAGGGTGAAGGTTTCGCCGGTGGCTATGTCCTTGAGCATGCGCGCCACTTCGTAGTGTCGTTTGCCCACCATGTTCTGGCCATTTAGCTTCTCGATGTGATCTCCCACACAGATGTGCTCGATGCGATCGATAATCGAGTCCTCCTTAATCCGCTTGATGAAGGCGTAGCCGGCTCCGTTGTCCGTGATCGTCAGGCCCAGGGCATCCTGCGACTTCACAATCTCGATC